TTTTCAAAATATTTTTTTTTGATCAGTTACGCCATATATGGCTTTAAAATATATCATAATAAGCAAATTCGCTTTCTTTGGAATCTTGATTGTTCAAAATATGTACAAGGAAGACATGAATAAAATTTTACATACTAATGATTGTATAAAGTTCAGTTTTTTTTTCAATGACCACGTGCTTCACGTTGTTGTTCAGAATCCCTATGCATGTTCATACATGGTTGGTTATATCATGAACCATAGAGGCTATTGCGGAATCACAATTGGGGAGGGGGGCAAAATTTTACAGAAAGATTAAGAAATTATTTCTAAAAATATTTTGAACAAGATGTGTTTCTGAAATACTATGCGCCCGGCGGCAACAACATTTTGAAAAAGCTATATTTAGCATATGTGTCACAGTCAAGGTCACAAGGCCATTGACTTTGGTGTCATTTGAAAGAACTTGAATTGTAAAGTATGGATACCAAATATGAAGTCTCTATCTTTTGTGATTCAAAAGTTGTGGCAAAGGTACGAAAAAACTATTTTTAGCATGCAGGTCACAGTCAAGGTCACAAGGTCATTGACCTTGGTGTCATTTGAAAGAACTTAATTAGTGAAGTATGCATACCAAATATGAAGTCTCAATCTTTTCATGGTTCAAAAGTTATGGCGAAGGTTAAAGTTTGCAGATAAAAAGCTATTTTTAGCATATAGGTCACAGTCAAGGTCACAAGACCATTGACCTTGGTGTCATTTGAGTATGCATTCTAAACACGAAGTCTCTTATTTTTCATGGTTCAAAAGTTATGGCGAAGGTTAAAGTTTGCAGACAAACAAACAAACCAATATACGCCCCGGATCTATCAATCCTGGCGCATAAAAAGCAGAACCAAAATGACTACAATGAGCTGTACTATCTGTTGGTCTTAAGATGGTTAAACATACCTAAAAGGTAACGAGCTTCCCCCCCCCCACACACACACACACCACCACCACCACCACCACCACCACCCTGGTAATTTCTTAAAGTTAAGAGATACGGACACCAGTTTGAATACCCGCTGAAATTATTTTTATGCCCCCGTAAACGAAGTTTCGGGGGTATATAGTTTTTGTCGTGTCCGTTCGTCTCTCTGTCTCTCTGTTTGTCTGTTTGTCCGCGAAAACTTTAACCCTGCCCATAACTTTTGATTTAGTGGAGCTATGACTTTCATATTTCACATGTATATTCCTTGTGACAAGATCTTTCTTTGGGTACCACCAAGTTTGACCTTTTGACCTTGACCTTGGAGTTTGACCCACTTTTACATGAAAATTTTAAACTTTTACTTTGGCCATATCTTTTGAACAGTAGATACCAAGACATTTATACTTCACATATGTAATCTTTGTTGAAAAACCTTTCATTGGATACCAACAACCTTGACCCTTTGATCTTGACCTTGTAGATTTCCGTACTTGTGAAAAAAACTCTAACCTTGGCCATAACTTTTGAACGGTAATGGCTAGGGCTTACATACTCTACATAAGTATTCTATGTTGCAAGAGCTTTCATCTGATATCAATTACATTGACTTTTTGCAGATTTTTGTACTTATGTCACAGCAGGTGTGGCACGATAAAGAAAAAAAAAATTTGCAGCCCTTCACCGGCAATTTGTGAAATATTCTGGAGAGGGACGTTACTTTCAAATTTCACAATTGTTTTCCAGTAAGAATACCCTACTTTTGTTACTAATTAAATAAATTTGCATTTAAGAAAAGTTTAATCTTCGCTATGTTGCCATACGGGGGCATCAGTGTTTCACAAACACATCTTGTTATCAATTTCTTTTGTAGGACACCTAGGATACCTAATGGATCTGGGCGTAATTGAGGTAACCTTTAACATGTTTCTAGAAGTGATTCAAGTCAAGTTTTTAATTGATACTTAGCAACATACGGGTTTGTGCAAAGGCATAATACATATAAGATGATTTCGTGTTGCATTTTTCCGTGTTTTAATACTTTTTGAAATCACAAGTAAATCGGGTATTTTTCTTTCATAAATCTAGAAATTGATGAGGGAGGGGGGCGTCGATTATGAATACATGTATTCTGAATATTGGATAAACATTTGTGGATATTTTTTTTTGGGGGGGGGGGGTCGCTGTTCGCGTTTATGAAGCATTACATTGTATTACACAATAAAAATGACAAGATGCGAAAGCCTTTTGGTATCAAAATTGAAGTAAAGTGTCTATTCGTAAACAAATGAGAGAGAACATGAACTTAACATGGATTAAAGATTACTTTTTACAGATATGCATTTCACACTGGAATAATTACGGCTCATGTTTTTAAAACTAAAAATATGTACAGTACTTTTCGAAATTCAAATGAAATCAATTTAAGTTTTTTTTTCTATTCACAAATGCATGCGTTTACTTTATACAAAATATATTCCAGGGCCTCATTTATAAAAGAACTAAATCAGACAAATAATAATTTTCTCTTTTAGACGGACGGAGAGACTCAGAGTAAATTTTAGTCCTCTACCACTTTCACCAGTAGGGGACAAAAAAAAAAGTGACTGGCAAAAAAAAAAAAGAAAGAAAGAAATCATTATCCTTAGCCTAGAAATTTGTTAAATTCAGCTGAAATCAATTTGACATTTTTACATGTAAACAAATGTGCCTCTCTAACATGTTTAAAACAATATATTCCTGCAATATAATTCGTACTTTATTAAGTTTATTTTACAGGAAGAAGACGATGAAGTGGAGCAAGAGCCAGTAGTCACCCATATACTACCCAGAAGGGAGCTGGTAGGCATCTACAATTATATATATCGGCAGTAATGCAAGTATCGGCACGCAAAGTTCGTATGTATTATCGGCACACAAAGTTCCTATGTTCTTTACACATGATCTATTCCATATCATTTTAGCTCAACTGATCTGAAAGCTCAATTGAGCTTTTCTGATCAAATTTTGCCTGGTGTCCGTCTGTCTGTCTGTCCATCTGTGAACTTATAACATTTTCAACTACTTCTTAAGGAAACTAATTTAACCAAATTTGTTACAAAGCATTCTGGGTGGATAGGAAATTCAATTTTATTTAAATTCAAGTTAGAACTAGTCATGCCCCCCTCTCCATTATAAAGTTATAGTTAATCATATGAATATGAAAGCAATTTCTTGGGCAGTTTAGATTCAATTTGTTCAAATATGATATTTGGAGCTAGAAAAGGCGTTTTATATATGAATGTATATCAAAAAAGATATTGGCTGATGAAACATGGCACATTGACAAGAACATTTTGACTCAGATGAGCGACGTGGTCCATGGACCTCTTGTTATGCATGTATAATCATCTGTAATCTGCCAACCCTACATTATACACCATACGCAAAAATTTTGGATTTTCCCCCAGGTATATATTGCATTTACACTGCATTAAGAGGAAAACTATTTTGTGTCTCCGTTATCGAAGATTCGGGCGTATATAGCTTGTGCCCGTCCCGTCTGTCTGTCTGTCTGTTTGTCCACTTTTTCCGCACAAACTTATACTTCGCCCATAAGCTTTAAGTACATGTAGGTGGAGCTATGGCTTTCATATTTCACAGGTGTATTCCTTGTGACAAAATCTATCTCCGGGTACCACTAAATTAGACCTTTCACCTGTGTATTCACTATGACAGGGTCTTTCATAGGGTAAAAAGGTATTTGACCTAATGACCTTGACCTATGAGTTTGACAACTTTTAAAAAAACTTTAACCTTGACCATAACTTTTTAACCGTTAGGACTAGGAATTTCATATTTCACAGGTGTATTCCTTTATGAAAAGACCTTCTTTGGATACCAACAATTTTGACCTTTTAATTTTGACCTTGAAATTTGACTTGGATTTGAGAAACTTTAATTCTCGCCATAAACGGCCATACGGCAGCATCAGTGTTTCACAAACACATCTTGTTTGTTTAATAAATCTTTTTTCTTGTTTCTTTGACTTCTCTCTATTCTCAGACCTCCACTTCCACTATGATCAGGATGCACATAGCTAGAGATGTGCTAATGGAGAGCAGCTACGAAAGGATTAGACCAGTAAGCTCTTCTTTTCTGTACAACCAGTAAAAATGCATCGACTACCATTGCTTTTGGAAATCGAAATTTTGGTTTACAAAGTGGTCTAGATAACACTTATTGAAAGAAAAAGAATTATCAATTGCAAAAGAGTAATTTCAGAATGAAGTAAGGTACATGTACCTTTCGATATCTAACTGTGTGACTTGAAAATTTATTGATTGAAGATATTGTTTTATGTTTACACTAGTCGTCAACTGCCGTTATCATGCCCACCATTTCTGAGGATATAGAAGAACTGGAAAAGGTAATCACGCTTGCGCACTAACCAATTTACAATTATCAATAAAATTGTGTATTTTCTATGTATGTACCAAGAGAGAAAGGTCTTAACCAAAATGAATTGTTTGAATTTTTTGTATGATTAGAGTTTTCTTTTATATATATCATACCCACAAACACTTGACTATATGTATTTTTTTATTTAAAAAAAACTACCTATTAATGAAATGATAAATGTGACGGAATCATTAGAGGGTTGTCGATTGCATATACCAGGTAAATATATTTTAATAAGAAAGCTATGTAAAGTCAAGTGCCTGTGATCATAACAGAAGCGTCTTATGCATGTCGCCCGCGTGGCGTAGTGGTTAGGACGTCTTCTCTAGACGCGCGAGGTAAGGAGTTGATCCTTACGTCGCAGATTCGAATCTCACTGTTGGACGTGGAGACCGGTCATTTGGATGATAAACCGAGGTCCCGTGACGCATTAGGTGCTGGCACGAAAAAGATCCCTCACTGCTCAATGACCTTAAGTACCGAGAATAGGAAAGAATTTGCAACTCTCCACCGGCAAGTGGTGGCCTCTCAATATGAGTGAAAAATTCTCTAGAGGGACGTTAAACAACATACAATCAATCAATCTGATGAGATTATAGCTCTTATATCTATATTCTACTGAACTTATAAATTAAGGTTGTTTTATCTTTAAGACCTCACCAATTCCATCCAGAACTGGGATTTCTAGAGATAGTATTGAAGAGGAGGTAACGTATTCCTAAAGTTTTCACTATTAAAAAGTGTGTTTATTCTCCCTGTAATATTGTTGAGTCTTTCATAGGATGTTTGTATAAACCATAACCATGTTCAAAGCTCAATTTAATGAATTTATATTCAGGATCATTCCAAGACATTCAGTTTATGACATATTTCACATACAGGCTAGGAGACTGTCTCTAACGGCCATACACAGTGCCTTCTCTGCGGCGGTATCAGTGTCTGAGGGGGGATGCAGGGCAAGTTTTAAGGTTAGAAAACGTGAATTAATTTGCAAAAAATAAAATTCATAAATTTGGTGGTCAAGTCCTGTTTTTTAAAGAACATATTTTTAAATAATTTTTTTTCTCAATATTAAAGTTTGAAAAAAAAGGATGGAGTTGAAATTTTATTCAATAAATTTAATTAATATATTGAAATAATTACTCCTTCAATAATGATATGATCTTTATTTTATATTAAAAAAAATCTTATTTCAGCCGAAGCGTAACATCTTTAGAGGCCTGCTTTCCTGCTTTCGAGCTTGTTTTGGTCGTGCCAGGGATTAATTCAAAATAACAGTATTTTTTTTCTCAAGAACAACCTGGCCTTTGAGGTCATTTTTTTTCTCAAGAAAACAATTTGATAAATTAAAAAGAGATCACGATAGAGATATTAAAAATAACAGTTAATACAGCAATTTTTTTTTCTCAAGAACAACTTGGCCTTTGGGGTTGTTTTTTTTTCTCAAGAAAACAATTTGATGAATTGAAAAAAAAAAATATCATCATTGATTGATCCAGAGGATAAGATTTTTTATATTTTTTTTGATATATCTTATATAGGGGTAGACGAAATTTGCTCAGAGCATGGAGCACTCCGATTTTTAAATTTTTTTAATTATTTTTTTTATTATTTTTTGTAACAATATTTATAATATTTTATCTCCAAGGTTATGGAGATGAAATTTCAAGATTTTAAGTTTTTTTCCAATGAAGATACATACTTGTTTATACACTTTGTATAGTTTATGAAAATCAATAAAAATCGACAATTTTGTGGTCTTATGCATATAAAGACACATTCTCTTTTAAAATTCATTTAAATAACTAGCAACACAACTATGCAAGGCACCACTGAGTTGTTTTACCTTATATTTAGTTTAATTAAGTTCACCATTTGTATACCACGACCAAACCCCTTATTGCAGAGCTGCTTATGGTAGTTACATTTTTTTAATACTAAAAATTATTTCACATTAAACAGTTGCCAAGTTAAAAACAGACTTATCCTTGATATTTTACATCAATATTGCTTAATTTTATATGATGGTAAAATTTGAATTTTTTTTGTATTTTTTTTTTAAACTTCTACGCACAGTATTCACAGGCAAAGTACAAAGTTCAAAGGTCATGAACTTTGAGACCGTCTTTCAGATATTCGAGTGACAGCAAATGTAAAGGTATGTATCATATAAGTGGTCAATACTGTGATCCTTTAAATAAGTAATTTTCTTTTAAAATAAAATGCTTGTTTGGTGGCAATTTTCTATAGCAAAAACTCTACAAAATCTGGATGGAAAGAACAGCTAACTGTTTATAAATAGTACTTAGTTAATTACCTTGAAAATTATCTGATCGAATTTCCAATCATACAATTTAGTTTGTATTCCATTGCAATACTAGTTATATACATAAATGAGAATTTTGATATTAAAGCAAATTTAATATAGTGAAGAAATTAAAAAAAAAAAATAGGCATAAAAAATGTAATCTGATAATAAAATAAAGAAAAGATGCGGAGAGGTATAATTTTAATTAAAGATAAAGACTCAAAATTAAGATCTGCTTTGTTCAATGATATTCTAACTGATAAAAATAATGATTTTTAAACTTTTTTATTTAAAAAAAATCATCAGATAAAAAACTAAAATTTAATCATATCCATGTAAAGGAGGGTGGGGTCAATGAATTTATAAATACTTTCAGAAAAACGTATACGACAATATGGAATATTTATGACGTCATAATTAAGTATGCCCCATTGTTACGTCAAAATACTTTGTTGTTAGACACAGACATTGACGTTCTGTAAAGATCATGGGTCTTTTTCAGAGTTGTTTTACCAGAAATACCAAAGTGGGAAGAGATGGAGGCGTACGAGAAAGTGCGGCGAACACTGGTTACAGAGGAAGTAACAAAAAAGAAAAGCGATGTGGCCTTTGATCTTACCTTCGTTTCAGAATCATGGGAAACCCCAAAGATGCCTCCACCGAGATTGCTTAAAAACAAAAAAGGAGATTTTGAGAAATGGAGATGTAAGTACTAGTATATAACCATTTAATGAGTGAACCTGGGATATTTCTTTAACTTTACCTATGTATATACTAGGTAACTAATTTCTTCGAGTTATCGAAATGCTCTTATGGATTTCATATCAAGTTGTGTTTATCACTTGGAAAAAAATTATAATATTTGTAACAATTTCAGAGAATTTTGATTTCCTTTATGTTTAACAGAATCTCAGGAAAAAGCCCAGATCGAGAAACAGGAGAGGACACAGCAGAAGAGAGAAGAGGCCTGTATGCAGAAAGAGATTGAAGTGGCCCACAAGGAGATGGGGAGGCTGGAGAAATATGTCAACATCGATATCGCTGCTGAATAAATGAGACTCTTCTTCATTGACTAAAATTTTAATTTACGCAATTGTTTAAGCTGTAATTTTGAACATTAGAACCAAAGAGGGGACACCCGAGCTCTTTATTTGCTCTGTTTTGGCTTTTAATTTCATCTCTTTCTCTTTTGGCTTTTTGATGTTAATATAAAATTTTCAATTCGCAATGTTGGGCCTTTGAGACAGATCTAAGAGTAGCATTGCAGAACAAAATTGAACTATTCCAAAATATTCACGTCTTTCGGAACTTTGGCCCTATAAATACTCATTCCGTCAGGGATCAGGGATGGGTATTACGTTGGAACACTCATCCCGTCAGTGATCAGGGGTGGAGGTTCCTCGTCAAAAACTTCTAAATTGTAAATGAAGCATCCGTTTAGAGATGTCCAAAAGCTCCGTTGTCCTCTCTTTTCAAAAAGCTGGTATTCAAAGGTTTAATAAACTAATTATTTGAAAGCAATTTAGCATTTTTTCTCTCCTTTTTTTCTTATGCGAAAAGGGTTCGGCCGTCTTTGTATTTGGTGCCAGAAAACATCTTTAAATATAATTAATAAATATAGAACTGCGTTATACGTGAGATGAAGGTGCAGTGTTACATAAAAAATGCACTCGAATTTTCAAAAACTCGCATATCCTGTATAGTTTGTTGTCACGTTCTTGGTGTTTAGTTTGACTGTATTTATAATTATTCATTGGCGGATTAAGAGGGGGCGCCTTGTCCAAAGTATGCGCATTAGATATAATAAATATTTTTTGTCGTGTGGATTTGGGCCCCTACCCCAACTCCAAACTGCCCCCACCTTTCAAGATTCCTACTGGATCCGCCAATGTTATTGCTCATGATTATTTTTTCATTCAAAATATAAAAATTTAACTTTGCTTTGCAAGAAGTAAATCTTCCTAATGTGCAACCGGGGCTCTTTCATTTATAACCCCATCAAACATCCTTATGTTTTAAGCAATTCATGGGCGGATACAGGATTTGTGATTGGGGTATAACTTCTTTCAGGCGGGGGGGGGGGGGGGGGGGGGGGGGGCTTAAGGCTCCCAGTGGGTCCAAGGCAAAGCCCTGTTTGGGTTAAGCCCCCGAAAACTCCTTGATTTTCGTGTATTTTAAGACTTAGGCCTAAAACCTTGCACAAAAAAGGTCTTTGTTAGTTATTTAAAACTATGATATACTTTTTATGCGATAGTTCATAGCAAAGGGAATTCAAGGTTTTCAGACTTGATTTTCAAGGATACTGATGGTTTGAACATATTTTATTGTATAAATACTATACAAATGGTTTGAACACAAGTTCTAACAACTTACTAGGTTCTCACCATACAACTGTCAATATATATACATAAGGAAAATAAGTGAAAAGGAATATTGATGTACAAACAAGTTTGTTAAATTGAAACATACATTTGTTACATAATTATGATAAATATATAATTATATAGATATATAGAGTGTAAGTGTTAGGCAGTAATAGTTAATTAAATCTATAAGAATCTCTTATAAATTTATGAACTGACTCAAAAATATATTTATTGATTTCTACATTTTGTGACTCATCTCCCCACAGAAGTAAATGACAATCAATAATGTTCAATTTGATATTTGGTTTCGTAAGACACAGTAAATCTCTGAATAGCTTTTCTCTAGCATATTGGTACTTATTGCAGACAAAGAAAAAATGATATGGGTCTTCTGGTGTACCACATGAACAGTTAGGACTCTCGATAATGTTTCTTCTATAAAGATCATAATTTAAAATGCAATTGTGTCGTAGTTTAGTATGTATGATATTAAGTCACTATTACCATGGGAGAAATAAGAAGGGGGGTCTGCAGGTTTTTTATGTATGTTATTTTTAAAGCTGCTAACAGATATGCTGTTTCTAGTGGTGATACTCAGACTATTCAATTGGTTTATTGTATCAGGAACAAAAAATTTCTTGAATATTTCAAGTCTACAAAATAGTGTAGTCCTCTCTATTGCGTGTATCGTACTTTGATTCATTACGTCTTGTTGCGGGAAAAATACTTTTTAAATAATCGGGTACTAAGTTATGATGTACCTTGTACATAGTATTAAGTTTTGCTACTTTTCGCCTATCTGCAAGAGGTTCCCATCCTGTTTCTAAATATAATGCATCTCTTGAAGCGATAATTGGTAACCCTGTAATAATTCTTGCAGCATAAAGCTGTACCATTTCTAATCGTTCAACATCTTGTAAAGAACACCCGTCCCAAACTATAGAACAATATTCAAGTAAATCTAATGAATGTTATGTACATTTTAGATAAAGTTTTTCTACCGATATTGTATTTCAGCTTTTTTAAAAGACCTAGTCTTTGGTAAGCCTGTTTAACTATATTGTCTATATGATCAGACCATTTAAGATTTTGGCTCAAAAGTAAACCCAAATGCTTATGAGAGGTTATGTATTCTAGATTACATCGTTGAAATTGTAATTTTGGGAGATAATAATTAGATTTTAATGTAAAGAATAATGCTTTCGTTTTAGATGGGTTAAATTTCATAAGCCATTTGGAAGACCACTTGTCAAGAATATCTAAATCATGATTTAAAGTATATTCAATAGTTGCAACATTATAAGAGGAACTTTGCAACGAGTTGTCATCTGCAAACAATCTACACAATGAAATCATGTTTTCTGATACATCATTCACATAAATCAAAAAAAGTAAAGGACCAAGAACAGATCCTTGTGGTACACCAGCGTTAATGTTTCTGTTAGACGAAAAAATATCTTTGTACATAACTTTCTGTCTTCTATTACATAGATAACTCTCAATCCAGGTAAGAATATTTCCACATAATCCATAAGTTTTTAATTTAAAAAGTAAACCCTTATGCCATACTCTGTCGAAAGCCTTAGACAGATCACAAAATACCATGCAACAAAATTTTCCTTCGTCGATATTCTTAATTATAGTGTGATAAGTTTCAAGTAGTTGGTAAACGGTTGAGTGACCTGGCAAAAAGCCTGCTTGAAATTTGTAGAATAAATTATTCTGATGAAAGTAATTGTACACATGTTTAAAAACAATTCGTTCCATAATTTTGCTAACACAGCTCAACAATGATACCGGTCTATAATTAGTAGCTACTGAAGGATCATCTTTTTTAAACAACGGTAGTACATGAGCGATTTTCCATTTATCTGGAAATATATTTTCTGCCAGCGACTTATTAAATAACCAGCATAGCGGTTTAGACACAGAATTAATAGTAGATTTTAACATCTTGTGGCTTATTGCATCAGGACCTATTGCTTTATTGACAGGGAGTATTGATATTATATCGACAATTTCTTGCTCAGTAATTACTATATCACTTAGTGTGTCATTGCATAGGTAATACTGTGGTGGTAATTGTTTGTTAGAGTCATCAACATTGGATATAGAAGAAAAATACTTATTTAACACATCGACTTTATCATCATCTGAGAAAGCTATATTTTCTTCTCCGCTATCAGAAATGTATTGTATGGGTGGAATATCTTTGTTTGGTTTTACATGAAAAGCATCTCTTAGCATTTTCCAGTATAATTTAGTAGTATTCATTCGCTTCAGATAGCTGAAGGTCCATGTTGTCATAATAATTCGATAGCGCATATTTTTTCATGTTATTGACTTGATTTCTGATTTTTCGATATTCAGCCTTATCCGATTCTTTCTTCGTTTTTCTTGCTATTTTATGTAATCTGTTGCGTATTCTAATATTTTTCCTGAGTACTGAGTCAAACCAAGGTTTATCTTTCGGACGAATTGTGACCGACTTTTCTGGAACACATTTTCGTACAGACGATAGGAAATGAGCAGTAAAGTTTTCCGTAGCAGTGTCAACATCTTGGACGTTATTTATTAAGCTGTCCCAATCGCAATCTTGAATTAAGGAATTGAGTTTTTCAAAATCTGCTTCTTTATATAGCCATACATTTCGCTTATACGCATGATTAATTTTGTAGTTCATGGTGAGACACACATAAGCCGCCCTGTGGTCGCTAAGATTTGCGCTTACATTTAAAGTTCCTGACTCTGTAACGTCAATGCTTTGTGTTGTAAATATTGGGTCAATAAGTGTTCGAGAGGAATGCGTGATTCTCGTTGGCTCGCTGATTCTGTTGATCAGACTACAATTGGATATTATTTCATATATAATATGTGTGTGAGGAGTGCTTAAGAGATCAACATTTATATCACCAACAATTATTATTTTGTCGGAAAGTTCACTTATTTTATCTAAAGACCATGAAAAGTTTCTCCAAAAAGTGGAATCTGCGTGCGGAGGACGATATACGCAACATAAGAAGAGTTGAGAGGTAGGGTTATCAATTTCTAACACGACAGTTTCAATATTGACAGGTTCGAGATCCATTCGTCTGTGAGCTCGAATGTTGTTACTTGTGTAAGTAATGACTCCGCCTCCGAAGGAATTTCGATCTTTGCGAAAAATACAATTAAAACCTTCTAAAGAAATATCACTATTCAAAATTTTGTCATCGAGATGCGTTTCAGTAAAGCACACAATATCAAAATCATTTACTATGGCTTTAAGTGGATCAATTTTGTTTCTGAGACTTCTGATATTTAAGTGTAAAATGTCAAGGACACTTTCATAAGTAGGGCCTGGGTTTGTTTCTATATCACCAGATATTAATAACAAAATAAAAGCAAAAAATTGCATGAAAAGGGATATGTGTACTGACAGATTTTTACCAAAATACAAACTTTTCAACAGAATTTTCCGAGTCACATGTTGGAAAAAGATAAAAATATACGCAGTGAAAGAAAAACAAACATTGACGAGCAAGTTACATACCTACACACAAAGTAAAAAGTTCCAATTGCGGCTCGATATTGCTCTTGTTATAATGTCGGATCTAAAGACATTTATTCGCCGCAAAATGGAAAATTTTGTAAAAAATATACACAGTACATGTATGTATAAAGACTAGGAGTTGAGTCTGAGTTTTTGTAACAGATATGTTGACAGTTGTAGATATATAAACATGAGGTTATATCCAAAGCAAAACATTGAAAACAAATAAAAAGAAATTTACATACGAACAGAAAAAATACTAACAAAAACATCAGAAGGTCTACTATACAAATCTGAATGGGAAGGGACTCATTTGCATGTGTGTTCCCAAACAATACATGACAATAAATCATGATATAAGACAACATAATGATATGCAACATAGAAAAATTATATAAATATGTACAAAGGTCCGTAATAAGTGAATTATAAACTTAATAGTAAGTAAGCAAGTTAATAATCATAGTAATCATTTATTGAGGCTTGATCAATTGACATTGATTGTTAAATCTGTGAACTGACTGCATTTGTCTATAAGCGCATTTGTCTATAATGAATTGTTATATTTTATGAAACAACATGTTGAAACATGAAAGGGAGTGGCAATAACTAAGAAGTGGCTGCTTCGGCGGTGTTGTCCTCGTGTTTGTCTGTGTTGTTTTTCACAACATCCGAGAAAGAGTTGCGGTTGGTTCGATCATTGACAGTTTCTTCGTTTGTTTCGTCGTTATCTGTTTCGGAGTCACTGTTCGCTTGTTCATAAAAGTTAGGTGTGTCAAGGTCATCATGTGACCTAATAATCACTCGTTTGTCATCATGTGTTTTGACGAAAATCTTGCCATCTGTTGTCCAGCATCCCTTTATTTTATGTTTTTTTAGCGCTTGTCTAACTTTTCCGTATAGGATTGCACGTTTCTGGGAATATATTCAGGGCTTCATTGATGTATATTCTGTACCCGTTTTCTTTATTCTCGTTGAACCCTTTGAGGTTAGATTTGTTTTGGTAGATTAAAGCCTTGTCATCGTACCGTACAAACCGTACAATGATATCCCGCGGTCTATCATGGCGTGGAGGGCCAAGTCGATGGAGGTGCTGATAGCAAAATTGTCTAATTTATCGACACCCTCGGGAAGTATAAGTTTATTTGTAATGTTAAGAACAATCTCATTTGTGTTCTCATTTTGCCTCTCCGGAATTCCAGTAAATTTCAAACACGTTTTTCTCGAATATTGCTCTAAATCATCAAGACGAGATTTTAGATCTGATGTTTTAATCTTAAGGATACTGATGCTTAGTAATTTAATAAAATTATCATTTATGATCATTAATTATAAAACCAAATTAAAATATAGCATTATAAATATTAGTCTTGTTATACTTTGAAATACATGCCCCCACCCCCCTCAAATGCACCAGTGAGCATGTTAGGTGTATGGAAATTTTAATGTTTAAGCAATTTAATTTTAATCAATATTTTATTTTTAATTATATCAATGTTAAAATATTTTTTAATTATCTTACAGATCACTAATTTTTTTTTCATTTTCACAGCCAAGGCCTTTTCATAACGAGCCATAGGTTTGCCGATATTTGTATGTCGTTCTGGTTGTTACACAGGCACTTGACGTTACTTATTTTTCTTTTAATAAAAAAAATATACACATATCTAATATTATTATACCTCTGTTTATTTTTTCTATATAAAAATAAGACGAATAAACATGCTATTTTTTCTAAACAGTCTCTACCGTGAAATAGTTTTTGTGCTATTTGCCCATGGTGAATAGTCCTCAAACTATTCAACGGCAGCATTCGATTTCCCTCGCTTTTCATCTCTGAAATTAAAAACTTCTGATTTTACATGGATTGTGACGCGTCTATATTATGACGTAACAAAAGTTAAGTCAGCACCGGTATACATGTAATATGGAATATCATAATTGTGTGTACCCTGGACTCCCAAAAGTTAACAAAAGTTAAGTCAGCATCGGTATAATAAAACACCTATTTACTGACTATTCGGACAATAGCAAGTTTATCGTCCCCCTCGACAGCAAACTATTTCCCTCGGCTGCGCCTCGGGAAATAGTTTGCTGTCTTGGGGAACGATAAACTTGCTATTGTCCTCATAGCCAGTAAATAGGTGTTTAATAAACGTATTATTAGATATGTGTATAATTTTTTTATTAAAAGAAAAAAAAGAAACGTCAAGTGCCTGTGTGTTGTTATTATTTCAGGATATAAAAGTCGCATAAATTGATCTTATGAAAATGAGAATCATGCGGGGTTGGTTGTTTCCGGAACCATAGACGTTGATTCCATTTCGATTTTTCTTTTATTCTCGCAGACATGGTTGATTGCATTCGTATCGCAACAAATGAAATGGAATACAAGTAAAGGGATGATCATGAAGGAAAGCTGAAATGGGGAAATAGCAATGTTGTGAATTTTGGAGTATTTTAAATGATGGATTTGCAGGCAGCTCTTGTTCTTTGGGCTGTAATCTTTGGTAAGACAATGCATTCATTTTTTAGTTTTCGCTAAAACGCACTAAAGCGTTATGGCTTTGCAGAGCATGCAATGCTATCAGTACAACCTACATAGATCTACAGGTTGCTAGTTCCATAGTTATTTTTATATAAGGAGTTAATTTTAGGTATTTGATCAATTTATATGTTGTGATCAACATTGGACCATTAACTTGAACCAAACTCGCAGCACCATGAGACAATGGTATTCTATACAACACAAACAGACAAAAACAATAACATTGCATTGTTTGTTTAAAATATATATAATTTTGTATCCACCCCAAAGCTGGTGACAAATATTAACCACCTCACATCAAAGTTTTCAGCAGACTCGATGCCATACAATAAATACAGCTTAACATGCTTAAGAAAACTGTTGGAAGGTGATAGGTCCCCTATGCTCAGTGTAGTAGTTAGACCATTTTGTTCGGCGTTTATCCTTACATTGCATGTTCAGATCCTAACCTCTGTTGAAAAGTTGATGGCTACTTTCAATGCTTGATCCTTTCAGCTGGGGGAAATATTAAAATGAGCCATTAACTTATCAATAGAGGAATAGTTCAAATCCCATGTGGGACATGGAGACCGGCCCTTCGGTTGAGACTATATAAACCGAGATCCCGTGTTGCAGTAGATATGCTAGCATGAAAAAGGACCCTTACTGCTCAACGGCCATAACTGCTGAGTATAGGACAAAATTTGCAGCTCTACACTGTCAAGTGGCGGCATCTCCATATAAATGAAAAAATTCTCAAGAGGGGCATTAAACAACATGAAAACAAACAAGCAATCCAAGGTTTACATTAATATAAGCTAAATAAACGTTGATTATCTAAGAATATTTCAGAAATTTTATTATTTCAAAGAATATAGGAACTTTGGGATTAGGGGTTAAAACTTGAATATCTGTGTCTTATGTGTAGTAGTGTATAAGATACATGGCATCCTGCTAGCTTGGGCTAGTGGGTTAACCCTTTAGCTCAATTGGTAGAACACTGGACTGGCAAGCCAGAGCGCCAGGTTCAATCCCCAGCAGAGGCACAAAATTCATATGTATGGATGAGAACAGGATCTAAAATACACCAGAATTAGAATTCATAGCTGTTGCTTCTCTGGCTTCTATAAGAAAATGACCATTGAAAGCTCATGATTTTATGTACAATTATGAATTGTTCATTTTTCCAAAATTTATGATTACATCCCAGCAAAAAAATTTCCAAAATTAAATTTATCACGAAATTCATGTAGAAGTATTAAAGCTCTGCTTGTAAGAATGATAGAAGACAGATGCATATATATCGGTACAGTGTAAGGATGCTTGACATACTTAGTATGGGAAGGAGTAAGAGTGAAAAGAAACAGATAAAGGGATGTAGAAATAAGATCTTTGATTTAAATTTCAAATATCTCCACTGTTGTGAGGAGAAAGCACTTCAATTTACTTGTAGGGCATGTTAAAATGTTTATAATGTGCATGGAATAAATACATGTAAAAAGCACTTCATTTTACTTGTAGGGCATGTTAACCTGTGTAATGTGCATGGACTAAATACATGTAAAAAAAAAATTCAAAGAAATAAAAACATAAAATATTATTTCCATTGTTCTGAATGTCTGATTAGCCATAGGCATTCAAAAATAATACAAATTGGTGATGATGCTATAAGAGAATTAATTATTCAAATTCTAAGTGACTTATAAATTTATAAATCTGTGAAACTGTCAAATTTGAAATGTGAAATTTAGCGAAAAGATATAATTTTGTAGGTTTTAATTTTGGATGAAAATTGCTCCTTTTTCATAAGAAAAGAAGCTCTTTTTCTCTGGATAGCTGCAGTTAAAAGTGTATGAACATGCATGTGTGCCAGTTATTGTGTGAATTTATCAGTGATAAAAAGTACACTGTACGGCGGCACAATTTTCCCTATACCCCCCTTCCAATATACATCAAAGGTATCAAATCACATTTTGAAATACTCCCGGCCAAAAATTTAACTCCGTTTTTTTCTGTGTTACTTCATAATTATGATTATCTCATCATAGGAGTCTGGACACTCTCTCACAGTCATGTCAAAAGAATGAAAAAGGGAGTTCTAGAGAAGACATGAATTGAGTCCGTCATCCTTAAATGCTTCCATTACATTGTGCACACTAGCTGCATGCTTTTATCAGATGCTCCCAATTAAAATTTCTCCTCCTTGAACCCTCAGCTGGTTAAAGTAAATAAAGTTAAATGTGCTCTAGATCTGCGGACTTATAAATTAGTTCTGTGAAGTATGTAGCAGAATTTTTTTTCCCTTATCAGCTGGCTTATTTCTTCAGATGCCATCTTTTGATGTGTCGTCTTTTAGGCTACTGTATCGATTGCACTAGAGCACTAGACTAAAATCTATGAATATTAGCATAAATTACTGTTAGGGAAAGATTTGAAATAGAATTTGAAAAAAAAATTAGATTTATTGTAGATAGTCTGAAAAAAAAAGTTTAATGAGTTAACAATGTAGTGTTCACCATTTGGTATATTCTTTTATCATCTGAATATAAATATTGAAATTCTGTATGTAGCTGTGGTATATGTGTACTATGGTGTGCCATCTTCTGTTTACAAATACAGTAAAACTTGGCAGACCCAGATGTGGATTCCAAAATCTTGCCAATTACAAAATCAAAATTTTCTGTCCCTTCCATTGCATTTATATTGTTTACAATATTGTCATATTTGGATTGTTGTCAGATCTCACAAATTTCCATGCTATGTCTGGATTATGCAACTTTTATTTGTTTATATATACGTGTATATATTTTTAAGGACAAAGAAATTCTATGTAATAATTCTTTATAAGGAAAATCACTTTCACCTCGACCCAGGGTTGAATTCCCCACCCACAGAATGCGTCTCCTACATGTAGTAGTGTAGGAACAGTTGGCTACACTGCTTGGCTATCTATATAGGCAAGTAAAAAAAAACTTGCTTTGCATACAGATAGAATTCTTGCGGTGCCACCCTACACCACAGTCATTACGAATGGAAGTGGGATACAGTTATTTTGACATTAGTTTTATTTGAGAGTCATTACTGATACACTTTGCAATGAAATTAATATTGTTTTAATTAAAGCACTTAGTCTTAAAATAACATCAGCTTCCAAAAGTGAAAACATCCCAAAATAGAAAGCGCAGAGAAATTTACAAAGAGATACTCATGCCCATGCCAGGATAGATGTTAATTCACAGTTAAAAAATGATCAGGCACTGAATTCTGAAGAACTTTTTATTTTGAAGAACAAAGATATCTCTGAGTAATTTTCTATACAGCTTGCTGCAGCAGCCTGAATGAACCCTGTGATCATCGTCTGTCACTTTATCATTTATTCATGCAGTGTGTTATCAGTGTATTTCACTGCCGACTGATTAAAATTAATTTATAGAAGAGGTGGAATATTTGATTGGGTGTACACTGAGTTTGATTTCAGAACTTTTTTTGATGATTATAGTGTAGTTTGTACATTAACATGTTATAAATGGGGTTAAATGTTCTGACTTACGGTGCACCTGTCATATGCAGAGCTAATGAAGAGTTGTGAGGAGGTCACATGGACCACCTCCTGGGAATTTAAGATTAATGTCAGAGTTGAAGTTATTAAAAAAAATGACACACCAATAAGACCCCCCACCCTAAAAAGAAACATACTCCAGGTGAGTAACCTCCACCCCCTAGGACCCTAGTCCCTACCCCCACCCCTTTGCAATGAAAGCTTGGGATTGGTTGATTATATCTTTTTTGAGAGGAATAAGTATGCATGGATCACTCAATCTCCCAAAGTTAAAACATTGCTGTGACGTCATCCCTTTGTTCTTGCAGTCTAAAAATTTACCTGTAGCCGTCCGATAATAATAATTACCAGTCTGATAATATATTATCAGACGGCAATGATAACAAAATCGGACGGTATTTAAAAAACAAGAAGAAGAGTGAAATTAAGGTTAGATATGTCCAGAAACCCCCAATAAAAATGTTAGAAAAAAATCAGGGAAAGCAAACGCAAGGATATTAAATTGCTACAAAATAGCAAATCCATGAAAAAAAATCCAAGTTTAATCCTTTCCCAAAATTAATACTTTCCACTCTTTAAAAGAATCTTTGAAAAACATCACTTTTAATTTCACTTTGAATAAGCGAATTTAAATCCATTTCTGCAAAAGAGTCTGCAAAACTCCTTATTTTATGCTTGTTCCCCGATGGCCACACTTTCAAAACCTGAGAATATTTCAAATATCTAAACTAAAACTTCAGGGTAAAAATCCGCAATTTTACTTTCCATGGTGATGGTATTAATATAACCCAAAATTATGTCGGTATCAATGTCAATTTATGCACCTCATAAATAAAATTGTTCCCCCAAAAATCTTTCACCACCGGACTCCTGTCATGCTAAACTGAATGAAATGAAACAAAGAGTTCACTCACTTTTTTTACTGTCTCATTTCTTTTATCTACTTATCAGACGGGTAAAAAAACAATGGATGCCTAAACTCCCATTGTGTTATTATCGGACTCCTCCAGGTAACTTTTGGACATATGCCTCATACTATTCTATATGTAAAATTATCAGACAGTTTTCGGTCCTAACGGGCCTCAAACAGTCTGATAATTTTACATATAGAACAGTATTCGGCATATATCCATTACAGAATTCCCAAATCCCATGATGTATTATTATTTGAAATCAAACCTAAGCTGCTAATATTCTGACATGTTTATTTTGCTCTTGCCCTCTCTTGTAGGGATATTTTTGTCTGATCTAATTATCAGTTTAATAGTGTTTGGTCTATTTCCTTTAAAAAAAAAAATTGATGAGTCATATTCATTTTGTTTTGTGTTATCTGTAAAATTGGAACATAATTGGCTTATTTTCTTGTCAACTACTGGATGAATTTCAACCAACTTTTTGTCCTTGAGGTTAGAGTACAGTGTATTTAAATTTGCAAAAATATGTCAAAAACAAGGTCACACCTTTCCCATATTTAGAAAAAAATGTAGGAGGTTCATTTACAATACACTTTTCAGAAATGAATTATAAACTGTTTTTAAGGAAGCCTTTTTATGGAAGCTTCCATTTTTTTTGTATTGACCCTAGACTTCCAAGGCTCATTACCATGCATTCAAACTTTTACACAGGAAATTATGATAGTAGATAATATTTAAAATTTCTAAATAAAAATCTTCAAAAAACATATGTCTTCAAATTGATGTGCAAACATCTCTATATATGTATATAGATTTAGTTTTGTTTTTTTAACGTATAGTTTTTTGGTATGGAACGAAGAATCATATAGATTCAAACATTTACACGTCCTTGAAAGATATCCCATTTAAGTCTACAAATTGCTAGTCTTATGTAAATTACTTGTTTTGTTCTTGTATATTTCTCCTTTGGTACTGTGTGTATACCCCATCATATACGAGGGGTGTTAGAAAAGTTCGCGGACAAGTTCTATTGTGAGCGCCCTATTTCAAGGAAACCGGTCAAACTTTCCAGATAAAATCTTTACCTTTTTTCCAATAAATATACAACACTTTGGTGCTCTCCGGTGATTATTGAAAAATATACAGCTTTTTTATTCTGATAAAACTTGCTTCACGGAGCATGCTATATTTTGGCACGTTTACATCACAAAGACTCTTTATTAAAATTTAAGATTGCACAATTGTAGCGCAAAGAGATTTATGATATTTTACCTGCCGCTAAAGTATTCATGAAACGTCACTGGGAGAAATTTTGAACTAAATTGGAGGGTATATGACTGTTTTATAGCCGTTTATAAATGATCAACGCTTAAAAACACAGCCAAAAATCGGAACGTCATTGAGCGTCATGGAGCACTGCACTAGGTAAAAATTGTGTATGCAGACTGGAAAATGCCTAAAAAGAGATTAATATGTTCAAGATGCTGCCGGAAATTTCCTACACCTACAATGGACAAGTTTTCAAATGGTTGTAGCTTCAAAAGAATAGAAGGATTAACATTTTGAATGATTAACTCCACCGATACTTCAATACCCCTGTATCGCATGGACGTTGCGCTGCGCCTATATGGTTTTGCATAGTTTCCATACCAGATCGATTAACTGCATAGACTTTTTTTAAGATCTCAATAATATCCGAATCAGTACAAAAAACACTATAGAAGAAAAGTAACATGTCTTGATATAGATATTTAATTTTAAAGTAGAAAAAAAAGATAAGAAATATCTGAAGAAATGAAAGATTTATAGAACTGCGACAAAACTTAACGGGTTGATATCTGGTTGTCACGTCGCCTTACGTCAATTGATTGCTCCGTGAATCCCATAACCTTATAGTAAAAATCGTTGTAAATTTGCAAGATTTTATAATATGGACCTGATATTTTACATACCAATAAACAAAATGTAGGAATTTATTCAGACATAGGTCATACTTCACAGTACACAACAGATTTTCCGTAATTCAATGTGTCCGCGAACTTTTCTAACGACCCTCGTATATATGTATTTATCCTCTCTTTCTTTCAGAATTGACATTGACACAGGTGCCCAGCAGTAAGTCAGGTGTATGTCAGTGCCCGGAGCACCTGTTTACCTGTGGTAACTGTGTATTCTTTATCTTTCAGAATTGACATTGACACAGGTGCCCAGCAGTAAGTCAGGTGTATGTCAGTGCCCGGAGCACCTGTTTACCTGTGGTAACTGTGTATTGTTTATCTTTCAGAATTGACATTGACACAGGTGTCCAGCAGTAAGTCAGGTGTATGTCAGTGCCCGGAGCACCTGTTTACCTGTGGTAACTGTGTATTCTTTATCTTTCAGAATTGACATTGACACAGGTGCCCAGCAGTAAGTCAGGTGTATGTCAGTGCCCGGAGCACCTGTTTACCTGTGGTAACTGTGTATTCTTTATCTTTCAGAATTGACATTGACACAGGTGTCCAGCAGTAAGTCAGGTGTATGTCAGTGCTCGGAGCACCTGTTTACCTGTGGTAAATGTGTATTCTTTATCTTTCAGAATTGACTCTGACACAGGTGCCCAGCAGTAAGTCAGGTGTATATCAGTGCCTGGAGCACCTGTTTACCTGTGGTAACTGTGTATTCTTTATCTTTCAGAGTTGACTCTGACACAGGTGCCCAGCAGTGAGTCAGGTGTATGTCAGTGCCCGGAGCACCTGTTTACCTGTGGTAACTGTGTATGTATCCCCCATCACTGGGTCTGTGACAAGGATGATGACTGCGGCAACCACAGGGATGAGGATTCGTGTGGTAAGTCCAGGGAGTGACAAGGAAATAACATATTTTAGAAGGTGGATGACTGGACTGATAGCAAATGAGCAATTTTAACAAAAGATAATTGAGACATGGTTCATGTTGATATTTTGATTGCAGTAAAACAGTTATTTTAAAAAATCTCCATTTCAGTTATGAAGTATGAAGTTTTCAAAGAAATTTTGGTTTAAGAAATGAATTCCATGATGCTTGTAGGAAAAAAACGACTCAATTAGTTTAGGTTATCATATGCTATTTAAGTTCATGTTATGTGAAATTGTATCACATTATGGCACATATAAACAATGTAAAACTGGCAGTAAGACATCAGTGTTCAGCTGGCAGTTTCACAATGGTACAGGATATGCTATAAACATGATAAACCAGCTTCCCTTTGTGTTCAACTTACCTTTTCAATTATTGGGAGGAATAAGAATTGTAAAATTAAATGAGTACAACACATCTGTTCATTTAAGCTAAGTAGCATAAAGCAAAGGATTCATTACTGCATTGTTTGAAATTAAGCTTAATCTAACATAAAACTACAAAGGAGCACATACAAGCAGACATAAACTTGATGAAGTAAAAATTGGTTTAGATTTCTCAGAGCTGCTTTATGTCACATTTCTCAGATTTGATCTGTGTTTCTATTCTCAGATTTTATTTTTGTTTCATTTCTTAGTTTTAAAATTTGTGTTTTAAATTTCAAAGGTTTAGCTCCATCTTGCCCAGATGATTATTTTACCTGCCAAAATCATAGATGCGTGAAGACAGAGTGGTTGTGTGATGGGGATAATGACTGCGCAGACAACAGTGATGAGCTAGGGTGTGGTGAGTGAGATTTGTTAATTATTGCAAACCATACCAATCTCCCCTCCCCCCTTACTAAAAAGAGGGGTATAGAACATACAAACTGTTTTCACTGTTATGTGATAAGCAGTGAACTGTGTGTCAAACAAGCAAAGTTTCTATATCTTTTTTCATTGGTCTGCACCTTAGGGTTTTGGCTTTCATTTGAGATATTCTTGATCATAAAATTTAAAAATATCATATAGAGTAAAATCGGTTATAATGAGGTCACTGGGACCTGGGAAATTACTTCGCTATATGCGTAATTCGTTATATCCTTTTAAGTGATTAATAAAAATTATATATTTGGGGATTCACAAAATCTTAGCTATATCCTCGATTTCGCAATATCCATGTTCGTACTAAACGAGTTTTACTGTATATATGAGAAACTAATCTGGATCATTTTACTTAATATTCTTAGTTTTGGTGTGCAACTGTATATAATACATTTCTTCAATATAAACAGACAAACCTGATGCACAGAACTGTACCAGCCAGGAGTTCCAGTGTAACAATGGTAAATGTATTCCAGAGAAGTGGAAGTGTGACCATGACGATGACTGCGGGGACGGGTCAGATGAAATATGTGGTAAGTACATCTGTACTGTAAGGACGGGTCAGATGAAATATGTGATTAGTACATCTGGACTGAGGGGATGGGTCAGATGAAATATGTGGTTAGTACATCTGTACTGAGGGGATGGGTCAGATGAAATATGTGGTTAGTACATCTGTACTGAGGGGATGGGTCAGATGAAATATGTGGTTAGTACATCTGTACTGAGGGGATGGGTCAGATGAAATATGTGGTTAGTATTAATGTATCCACTTTTGAGTCCGTGCACCTCCATGACACTCCTTATCATTTTTTAAACAGAGAGAATGAAGGTGCAAAAGACTTTAATGATTAACATTGTTGCTGCTGCTAAAATGAGATTTGTCATCTTGTAGATCATTTCAAAATGCTCTACACTTAACAGTCAGGATAAATTAATCTCAAGACACTTGCAGATACCATTTTCATAAAAAAAATTCAATTCACACAGCCAAGTTTTCCTTATATCAGCAGGTTTCTCGGCCACCTGTGGTCCTAACCAGTTCCAGTGTGGGGATGGTATGTGTATCCACAAGGGCTGGCGGTGTGACAAAGATGTGGACTGTTCTAACGGAGAGGACGAACAGGATTGTTGTAAGTCTCATACTGATACTGAGTGTGGATGCAAACTCCTGAATAACTATTGTAGTATTTTTTTTTTCAATGCTTGGACCTTATTAATTAAAGGAGAGATATTTATAACGTTTATCTTTACATCAATTTAAAAAGCTTTTGAAAGTAATTGCTGATAAGCCAAATTGCAGCAATCAAGAACTGTACCAAATAATACATAATAACAAACATTTTAAAATAATGCTGTTGAGAAGTTCAAAATAATGATTGCATATAAGTTATACTTACTTGGAATTTACAAAAATACCACCATTTTTTTTCATACATCTTTGTAGATGCTGACCAACTGTTCTGCAGCAGGCAGGAGTTTCAATGTTTACATTCCAAAAAATGCATTCCAATGAATCTACGTTGTGATATGAAAAATGACTGTGGGAATTGGGAAGACGAGATGGATTGTGGTAAGATAGGGCTACATGTATACTTTAAAACAGCATGAATTTCTTGCCATGAAGATTTTTAAGTCTGCTTCCTTCATTGTTATACACTGGACTGGATATCGAATAACAGTGATATCTCAGTTACCATGGATGGCCAAACCAGTTTGAGATGTCTTTTTTTTTTCGTAAATGATCTACTTATTAATTATTTTATAATGCATTTCTTGGTCTTCTTTCAGGTGTTACAGAAGATAACTGTGGCTTCTATGAGTTTGCTTGTAGTAAAGGCAGTTGTATTGACAGAGAATGGGTGTGTGATGGGGATGTCGACTGTGAGGACAAGTCAGACGAGACCAACTGCAGTATGTATTAAATTTATCAGGAAGAAAAAGCCCTCTCTTGGGTTATATAATTATTGTAGTTATTAAATTAATATTTATTGTCTAGTTATCAGAAACTTAATATAAGCTTAAAAAATGAAAGGAAAAAAATACCAGCTTAATTGTCTTTTACTCACACTCATTTGATGAAAGTGGAGATGGACAAACTTAGCTTAAGTTTTGAGCTCTAATTACTTCGTCGCAATCTTTTTTAAGAATTGAAAGAAAAATGAGTCTCCGGTTAGTTCTCCCATCATGTATCTAGGTAAAGAACATTAATCTGAATCTCTTCCAGCATTACCAGTGTGTAGCAGTGGTCAGTTTACCTGTGACACTGGAGCTTGTGTGAATGAGACGAAGAAATGTGATGGGAATTATGACTGCCCCGACAACAGTGATGAAAGAAACTGCAGTAAGTGGATCAAAAATACCTACTGATGATTTTGTCTTATAGTGCTTATACAAATGGCTTGTGAGAAAATTCATAAATAAGGACTCTGTCTTTTAATAAGGAATTAACATGTGCTTTAGATGTCCAGTTGGATGGCTGTAAAACCATACTACTTATTATTCAAATCTTAGGTGTTGACCACTGAGTTTTTTTTTGTTTTTTTCATTTTTGGGGCTTTTAAATTGACATGATTATAATCAATTTTTGATTATTTTTCAGCTTATAATGACACCAAATGTACTGGACTGGCCTCATTTCAATGCAACAATGGAAAATGTATCAGTATACAGAAAGAATGTAATGGTGTGGATGATTGCAGAGATAGGACAGATGAGATTGGGTGTGGTCAGTAAATAACAACTCTGTAATCTAATGCCAATAAAATATGTAAAAAAGTATTTAGGGATTTCTAGAAAGCAGTAGTGTAAAAAAGGAAAAATTTAATTCCCCTAATTAACTTCACAGTTTTGTTTAACTAAGAGTACTGTTAAAATTTCCATTCACCATATTTAACTAATATACCCAAATCGTTCAACTTTTAACCCTTCCATAGAACCATATACAATGTACTTGACAGTATAAGCTTGTATATATACATGTATTTTATCCATTGCTAACTTTGCATTCTTAATTTTGTTTCATTGGTCTTCAATTACTATGCCTTAGATTTATTAAAAACTGCAGTCCTCAGTTTCAGAATACCATTCCAATAAAAAATTGACAGAATAGTTTGTTTTTTTTTTTACACAGTTGAGGAGGATGTGTTGGTATTTGCTCGGAGACAGTCTGTCCACATGATGTCATTATCAAGCTTTGAGTACCACACTATTCCTGTACTAGACATCAAACACTCCATTGCAGTGGACTTTGATCCTGTTGACAAACAAGTATTCTGGTCAGACAATGAACAAACAACCATCAGCAAAGTCTACCTAGATGGCTCAGGTAATACGATCATGTAAAATACTTTATATTTGCAAGAACTTTATTTTCTTTATGATATAAGCAAGAATGTCCGCTTGCAAAATTTTTATGTATGTGTATAACTTTTTCTCAAAGATTATAAACAACAATAACCAGAATTCAAACAAAAAAAATGTTGTTTATAAGTTGTCATGAATATTTATTGAGCTACATAAGTATGCATATATTTTTCAAAGCCATACTTTATATATATTAAGCATATAATCTATTGATACTTTTTTTTAGATTAAAAATTTTATTTTCTGATGATTTGTTTGGTATATAACATGTATAACATTAGTAATATTTTTTAGGACAAAAAATTGTGAGCACAGGGATTTCCCATCCAGATGGCATAGCAGTAGATACAGTGAATCGTAAACTGTATTGGACAGATACAGGGAAGGATACAATAGAAATGTCTGATTTAGATGGCAATCAAAGGAAAACTATTATCACAGACCATTTAGATGAACCAAGAGACATTGCTGTGGACTCAAAGAACAAGTATGTCACAGTATTTCTTTAAGGATATTGAAAAAATATCTACATGTACTTTGATTTTGCCCTATTTTAAATTTGCTGATTTGTTACAAGGGCGAAAGGGGGCAAAAATTTCCCTTTATACAGTAATTGCTATGTACAGTCAAACTTCATAATCTCAAACCTGATGGGGCTGAGAAAGAGCTTTCAAGATATCCAGGGATTAGGGATATCGAGGTAAAAATACTTGAAGAATATGTGGTTGAGACTTCCATGACACTTTGACATATCCATGATATTTGAGATATCGGAGTTCGAGATACTGAAGTTCAACTGTATTTGTATTTTGATTAATTTATTGAAGTTTAGGTTTCCTTCATACAGTGAACTTAAATTTTTACTTAATGTGATATTATCTGACATTTTACAGAAAGATTTACTGGTCAGACTGGGGGAAGGTGGCAAAAATAGAGAGAGCCAACCTGGACGGCTCAGGAAGGGAAGTGCTGGTAAACACTTCTCTAGGGTGGCCCAACGGAATAGCCCTGGATGTCCAGAATAACATGATCTACTGGGGAGATGCAGAGCTGAACAGAATAGAGATGGCTAACATGGACGGATCTAACAGGGGTGTTTTCATGAGTACTGATGTACCACACATATTTGGACTTAGTTTACTAGGTTAGTGTATCTTTGTCTGTAGAATATCTGCTTTATATGAGCTCATGTGTGTCTAAGAGTCAAATGAATTTTTCTGAAAGACCTACATGTATATGTCCAGCATCTTTCATTGTTTTGACATTTTACCAAACCATGGGGCCAATTGTCAAACAATCTTGGAAAAAAAATGGAGAAAAAGTTCTCAAAATTTTCACTTCATTTATTCTGATAGTCACAAAGTTAGAAAATATATTCTCATGTAGATATAACTGAATTATTTCCATTTTGAAATGTTTAGTATAACATTGTTTTCACAGGGAAGTACTTATATTGGACTGACTGGCAGAAGCGAGTGATTGAGAGGGTGAACATTAACTATAACTATGACCGGGAGATCCTGTTGACCAGTGTAGATGATCTGATGGACCTCAAAGCTTTCACTGTCAAAAAGAAGAAAAGTAAGTTTTATAATTACAATAAGTGCTTATGTAAAGGAAAATTTTGAGTTTTATTTTTAAGTCATGTTTTCTAGTGAAGTTTGTTATTCTTCTGCTGTCAATGTTTTTCATTTTTGACTTCTCTAGAAAACCCTTTTTGACTATTTGTTTTCAAATCAAATTTGCCAAAAAAGCCCCCTTGAACAAATAATATTCAATTTCTATTTAATGAAGTAGCGAAAATTCTTCAAATACATGTAGATCTTCAGGGCAAAAAAGTAAAAAAACTTTCATTGCAGGTAAAAGCATCCTTACCATAACATTCAGTGCTTCAAGTTTTCATAATGCTTGCCAGTCAAATGCAGTGGCCTATGGACCTCATTTGATAAAGAAAAAATCAATGAGCAGATATATAGAGAACTTAAGAAATGGGGGAATTTCCCATTAAAAAGATAATTTATAAGATGTATAGATTATTATGATTTTGTTGTGCAGATCCCTGTAAATCCACCCAGTTTAAGTGTCAGTCCGGTCAGTGTATTGATAAGAACCAGAGATGTGATGGGGCCATGCAGTGTGTGGACCACACAGACGAAGTGGGCTGTAGTAAGTTAATGTTTTCAAAATTTGTGCTGTGGGTCAACATGGTCAATGAATAACATCATCATGTTAAAAATGCAACAATTTCATAAATAAGTTAACAATATTTTTTACAGCATAAAATTCAAAGAAATTATGTACAAGTTGGAATACTGTAGACATACTTTTTTCCACGGGGTCATAATTCCGCGGAATCTCTATTTCTGTTCAATCCGCTGGTAGAAAATTATGAGGATATCTTAAAAATCTCCTTATATGCCTTATATTTGTATTAAGTTCAATGGGACAAATTTCCGTGGAAAATTTGTGACCGCGTACATAGCGTAAATTAATACCACGCGGAAAAAAGTACTTCTACAGTACTTTGAAGTAAGGTACATTCTGTGTTATATAGGTTACACCAAGCTCAGGGTGTGCAGTATAGACCAGTTCCACTGCTCTAATGGTCAGTGTGTCGGTAACCAGAAGAAATGTGATGATGTGGACGACTGCGGAGACAACTCAGACGAAAGCGGATGCAGTATGTTAATTTATACTAGTATCAAAACTTACCTCATCTCTTACTTATTCAATATTTTGTGCTCAAACTGTACCCCCAAAAGTCCATCATGGGAACCCACAGATTTTCTCTCCATCATATAGTGAAACACACTAATAATGAAGTGCCATGAATGGAAAAATTTACTTTGTTAGTAATGAAGCTCTTCATATCCATTAAGTGTTCAATACATTTAAAGTATGAAAGTATAAAGGGGAATGAAAATCACTTGCCTATAGCATCAATTCATTATAAGCACTTTAAGCATGTTTTATTCATTGAATGTAGTATAATAGAGAGAAAATCCATTGAGTTTCAACAATATCCAAAAGTCTAAATTTCTGTGGTACATTCTTCTGAAATGGTAATTTGATGAGAGTAAATTTGCATTACTTAGAGTTGTCAATTTTTCAGATACACTAGGAGAATCCTCCTGTAAGGATAACAATGGAGGATGTGATCACCTGTGTCAGATTAAGCAGATGGCTGTCCACTGTTCGTGTCGTAGTGGGTATCAGCTGATCGGGGACTGGCGGACGTGTCAGGATATAGACGAGTGTCAGTGGGAGGGGACGTGCAGTCAGCGGTGTACCAACACCCCAGGGTCGTACCACTGCTCCTGTGTCCCGGGCTATCAGTTAAAGGCTGACAACAGGGGCTGTAAAGCTGAGGGTAGGGGATTTGTATAGCATATGTACTGTAAATCACTTTTAATTTACCAATTTTTTTTGGTCCATTTGCTAAAAAATTTCATTTAATTGTACTTTTAAAGATTATATGGAGCAATAACTAAAATTTTTTTTTTTTTTTTTTGCTTTTGCTTACAATCTTGCAAAAGTGAGATGACAGTTTTGAAACAATGATGTTTGATAGGCAAAAATATCAATTTTGTATGAGTTGTGCAGAATCATCATTATGATTAGTGTTGACCTGAGAGTATTTTAAAGCCCTTTGTTTATAAATTTAAATAGATACACATTGTTGCTTTCATCATTTACAACTTGTTGAAACAGAAAAAAATTATATATATACATATACACGTATATGAAATGCATATAGATGTTTAAATGGCTATTTTTCAGGTGGAAAAGCTTACTTGATCTTTGCCAACAGAGTGGACATCCGGAGAGTACTGACAGACAATGCAGAACACGACTCCATTCTGCAGGGTTTACAGAACGCTATAGCCCTGGATTTCCACCTCACCGAGGGCTATGTCTACTGGTCTGATGTAGCTCTGGACAAGATCATGAGAGCCTTCATTAATGGCTCTAAACCAGAGTCTGTGGTGGAGTACGGACTCAAGAGTCCAGGTAGGAGAAATCAACTCAATGGAGACTGGTTAATCCGGACTCTGATAATCAAAATACTTTGCCTCTCAGACAATTGGTTGGAAACATAAGTAAAATTTATGTCTACTAATTATAAGAGATTCATTTTAGTAATTCAGATGCTTATCATCTGTGGATTAAGTAGAACAAAATTTTTGGATTTTCTAAAAAAGCTCTTATTATTATTGAGGATGCTTGCTTCAGTAAAAAAAAAATAACAACTCTAAAGCTTTTTCGTGTAGAATTGTACAAATATTACAGTAACTGTGAAATTATTTACTTTTGCAGGTTTTTGATTTTATGGATCTCTTCTTTTCATGAAAAGACTCGAAATTACTGATTTCACAGTACATTTATTGAATAAATTTTGGCAGGTGGTCTGGCCTTAGATTGGATCCATAACAAGCTGTTCTGGACTGATTCTGGTACATCTGTTATTGAAGTCATGGATCTGGGTCGTAACAAGTATCGTAAAGTACTCATCTGGAATAACATGGAGAAGCCCAGGGCTATTGTTGTTCATCCTAGGCTTGGGTAAGTTTAAATTTGGTCTCTGGACTCATAAGCATTCAATTGCAAAAAGATACATTTTATATAGTACTTTTGTGAAAGTGATTAATTTAGAGCAAAAACGTATTATAAAAGACAGAATCTTCACACATATGATACAAATCTGAAAATTCACTTCATTTATTCCTTTATGCCTTTGTATTCAAGATTTTATCTAATGTACATGTATGTGTACCATTTTAGAACACATTTAAAATTGATGGGTAAAGAAAAATCCCCTTTAATGAGCTAAACACTACTTTTTGACCAGGGTAATATTTTGGACTGACTGGGGCCACATCCCTAAGATAGAAAGGAGTTACATGGATGGGAGTGGGCGTGCTGTGATAGCCAATACCTCGCTGTTCTGGCCGAATGGTCTGACACTGGACTACACCACGGACAAACTGTACTGGGCTGATGCCAAACACCATGTCATAGAGTGTTCCAACCTAGACGGCTCCTCCAGAAGAACTGTCATAAACTCAGGTAAGGCATTTCACTTGCTCTTCAGGAATTGGATCAGTGTAAAAACTAGTCTTTAAATGAAGATTGAAATGATCAAGCATTTTGTAGAGGTATACTGAAAAGAAATTGCCACATAACAAGTAATATTCCTATTCTTCATATTCTTCACTTTGTTTTGTAAGAAAGTTTGGTGAACATGGTCAAGGATATTATTTGGGCAAAAAGATATTACAAACCATCAGATAGAATCTATGGTTGAAAGAATGATAAAATGAGTTTTTTTTCCCATTGATACTCATAGGCCTACCCCATCCGTTTGCCCTGACCCTGTTTGAGGATGAGTTATATTGGACAGACTGGCACACTAAGAGTATTAACAAAGCTAACAAGTTCACAGGAAATGATGTAGAAACAGTTCACAACAGACTTCATTTTCCTATGGACATACACAGCTTCCATCCTCAGAGACAGCCAGAGTGTAAGTACAGGTTAATTAAGACAGAGAACTTGCAGGTTGCATCAGGGGATGCTAATCACTGCTTATGCTTCGGATGTTACATTGACCTATATTTTTGGAAGACTTATCAGGTAAAAGTTACTGAGAAGGTCCATTCATATAGGATTAGTCTGTATGCCATAAAAAATAAACATTTAATTACATGTAATCCATTTCAGCTCCAAACAGATGTGGTCAGATCAATGGGGGCTGTAGTCACCTGTGTTTACCCAGCGCTGTAGGATTTACCTGTGCTTGTCCTTCTGGGCAGCACCTACTGTCCAACAAACGCAACTGTACCAAAGGTAAGATAATCATATGTACCAAGGGTAAAATGACTTGCACCTATGGAATATCAGAACAGTTACCTGTGACAAGATACCATACATTTGTCATTTACAAGATGCATGTATCACACGTAAGTATCAACTGCTAAAAATTTGACTTTAAAAAATCATTAGTTTTACCAGGTAATATGTCATTTGAACGTATTTTCAGAAATAAAGATAAAGTTTTACATGTGTGTCACCCATATAAATAGTCAGGACAATATATTTTACTCACTTTGTATACTGTATACAGGGTTATTTCCGCATTTTGAAACAATTTTGCCCAGTTTAAAATTCGTCCAGTCACAGTTTTGTTGTAGAAATTATACTGTGTTCTTTTAATTCCCCCCGTTTTAAATTTGCCCACCTGTAAGTAGGGCTAAAGGGGGCGAAAATAAAACGGGGGCAAAAATTTCCATGTACATGTATACAGTTTTCTTTTTCTCTACTTACAGATATGGCCACTTTCTTGCTGTACTCTACATCCACCGAAATTCGCAAAATCAACATGGACCCAGCAGCAGGTGTTGACCGCTCTGATTCCATTATTCCCCTGTCTAAAGTTGGACATGTGATTGGTCTAGACTTTGATGCTGAAGAGGAATACATGTATTACACAGATACTAGCCACAAGACAATCAGTCGTGCCAAATGGGATGGAACTAGAGAACAGGTAGTCATTTGTGAATTGTTAAATCATGAATACTTTGGTAGTTTTTAGCTCTACTGGTCAGAGACCAGAAGAGCTTATGCGATAGTAATGCGTCCGGCGTCCGTCCGTCTGTCTGTCTGTCTGTCCGTCTGTCTGTAAACAATTTTTCGAAATGCTACTCCTCCTACAATTTTAGTCTGATTTCAATATTACTTGGCACACAAGTAGACTACACTAAGATACATAGAATAGTGCATCGGTTTTTGATTTTGATGAACGGTGTTGCCATGGTTACTAAAAATAGAATTTTCTGTGAAATTCCTTAAAAACGCTACTCCTTCTACAGTTTTGGTTTGATTTCAATATAACTTGGCACACAAGTAGACTACACTAAGATACATAGAATAGTGCATCGATTTTTGATTTTGATGAACGGTGTTGCCATCGTTACTAAAAATAGAATTTTCTGTGAAATTCCTTGAAAACGCTACTCCTTCTACAGTTTTGGTCTGATTTCAATATAACTTGGCATACAAGTAGACTACACAAAGATACATAGAATAGTGCATCGGTTTTTGATTTCGATGAACGGTGTTGCCATGGTTACTAAAAATAGAATTTTCTGTGAAATTCCTTAAAAACGCTACTCCTTCTACAGTTTTTGTCTGATTTCAATATAACTTGGCACACAAGTAGACTACACTAAGATACATAGAATAGTGCATCGGTTTTTGATTTCGGTGAACGGTGTTGCCATGGTTACTAAAAATAGAATTCTCTGTGAAATTCCTTTAAAACACTACTCCTTCTACAGTTTTGGTCTGATTTCAAAATAAGTTGGCACACAAGTAGACTACACAAAGATACACAAAATACTGTAGATCACTAAATTTTCGCGAGATAGTCATTGACTCTTTTTAAGCGAGACATAATTTTCACGAATTTTAAAAATTTCTTTATATAATCTTAATGAATACTATTATACGCGAGAATGAAATTTTCGCGTGCTAGTTGTTTCGCGAAAATACGCGAAAATAAAGTCTTCGCGTATAAAAAGTGATTTACAGTAGTGCAATGGTTTTTGATAAGTACAAACCAGTAGAGCTACAGTCTCGACAGAGACTTCTGGTTGTGTATGCCAAGAAGTAATCAGACATTTAAAATGTATTTGTTCTATAATATGTTCTATCTGTTATATGTTAATATGTTCTATAAAAATCATAATATTACACTTTATTTCATTAGAGCAAACCTCTTTGGTTGGGTAAGTTAAACGTGGGATAAACAGATTTTAACATGAATATATAAATGCTGCATTGACATGGATATTACATGTATAATTATTGACCAGTTAAGGGAATAATATAGGCAGCATTGTATACTTGTATATAAATGGCAATCTTATCTGTGACCTTGATTGAAAAAGCCAAAATCATAGCTGTTTTTAGCTCTACTGGTCAGAGACCAGAAGAGCTTATGCGATAGTAATGCGTCCGTCGTCCGTCCGTCTGTCTGTCTGTCCGTCTGTCTGTCTGTCTGTCTGTAAACAATTTTTCAAAATGCTACTCCTCCTACAGTTTTGGTCCGATTTCAATATAACTTGGCACACAAGTAGACTACACTAAAATACATAATTTTGTGCATCGGTTTTTGATTTCGATGAACGGTGTTGCCGTGGTTACTAAAAATAGAAATTTCTTTGAAATTCTTTCAAAATGCTACTCCTCCTACAGATTTGGTCCGATTTCAGTATAACTTGGCACACAAGTAGAATACACTAAGATACATAATTCTGTGTATCGGGTTTTGATTTCGATGAACGGTGTTGCCGTGGTTACTAAAAATAGAAATTTCTTTGAAATTCTTTCAAAATGCTACTCCTCCTACAGTTTTGGTCCAATTTCAATATTACTTGACACACAAGTAGACTACACTAAAATACATAATTCTGTGCATCGGTTTTTGATTTCGATGAACGGTGTTGCCGTGGTTACTAAAAATAGAAATTTCTTTGAAATTCTTTCAAAATGCTACTCCTCCTACAGATTTGGTCCGATTTCAGTATAACTTGGCACACAAGTAGACTACACTAAGATACATAATTCTGTGCATCGGTTTTTGATTTCGATAAACGGTGTTGCCGTGGTTACTAAAAATAGAAATTTCTGTGAAATTCTTTCAAAATGCTACATCTCCTACAGTTTTGGTCTGATTTTGATATAACTTGGCAAACAAGTAGACTACACTAAGATACATAATTCTGTGCATCGGTTTTTGATTTCAATGAACAATGTTGCCCATGGTTACTAAAAATAGAAATTTCTGTGAAATTCTTTCAAAATGCTACTCCTCCTGCAGTTTTGGTCTGATTTCAGTATAACTTGGCACACAAGTAGACTATACTAAGATACATAATTCTGTCCATTGGTTTTTATTTTGATGAGTGGCAAGGATCATTTTTCTATTTATTGCTGATTTAAAGTCTCAAGTCCCAACTGCTACTTTTCTCTTCCTTTGTTTTAAGTATAAACCAGTAGAGCTACAGTCTCGACAGAGACTTCTGGTTTCCTTAATCATGCTCTACCTAGGCATTAATTAAATTCAAATCAGTTAAAGGAAAGCTTCTGTTATTGCATGGCATTAAAAAATTAGATTATAAATCAATAATAATTAAGTACCTTTGATTATTGTTTTGATTGTTATCAAAAATATTGTAATGTATTCCTTATTTCATACTCTGATTTTGTCGGAAAAATTTTTAATCATGACCTCTCCTTGAATGATCAATATGTATGGCTGTCTTCCTAGCTGTCCTTTTCCTGTACAGTTAAATTGTCCATGTTGAGGGGTTCAGAAGAAGGGATAGGGTGGATTTGATGCATGAGTTATAATCTATTCTGTTCATTTATCACTTTGTCTCTAAATCCTTAAGAAGTATGCTACTCCAACCTATGAGCTCTAATGAACTCTACTGATTGAAGTTTGCATCCACTAATCTCTCAATATGAATGTTTACCGAAGATTCTTTTATTGTGTTGTTGACAGGTTCTAGTGGACACGAGGTTGATCGTCCCAGCAGGCATTGCTGTTGACTGGGTGGGGAGGAAACTGTATTGGACAGATGCTGAATTAGACATCATTGAAGTGGCCAACTTGAATGGAAGTGTTAGAACTGTTCTAGTGTGGAAAGGAATGGATCAACCCAGAGACATCATTGTAGACCCAGAAACAGGGTACTTCTGTAATTGTGCATAAGAAATGGATTGATCTGTTGACTTGTTTTAATTGAAAATTTGAAAATCAGGTACCCATTTTACAAAAGAACTTACAACTAAGGTCAGAAACCTCTGATGATTGTAAAATCATTCAAAACTAATAAATTTGGTACATGTACATACATGTATTATATTAAAAAAAATCTTTCTTTATTCTTCTTAAAGGGATGAGATACTTTTATAAGTTAATTTAAAAAAAAAAAGAACATCATTTGCAAAATTATTTTTAGCTCACCTGAGCCGAAGGCTCAAGTGAGCTTTTCTGATCACATTTTGTCCGTCGTCCGTCTGTCCGTCCGTCCGTCTGTAAACTTTTCACATTTTCGACCTCTTCTCAAGAACCACTGGGCCAATTTTGACCAAACTTGGTACAAAGCATCCTTGGGTGAAGGGAAATTGTTAAAATGAAGGGACATATCCCCTCGCAAGGGGAGATAATCAAGAAAAGACAAAAATAGGGTTGGGTCATTAAAAAGTCTTCTTCTCAAGAACCACTGGGCCAGTAAAGCTGAAACTTACGTGGAAGCATCCTGGGGTAGTGTAGATTCTTAATTGTTCAAATCATGACCCCCGGGGGTAGGGCGGGGCCACAATGGGGAATCAATGTTTTACATAGAAATATATAGGCAAAATCTTTGAAAATCTTCTCAAGAATCACTGGGCCAGAAAAGCTGAAACTTATGTGGAAGCATCCTGGGGTAGTGTAGATTCTAAATTGTTCAAATCATGACCCCTGGGGGTAGGGCGGGGCCACAATGGGGAATCAATGTTTTTACATAGAAATATATAGGAAAAATCTTTGAAAATTTTCTTCTCAAGACCCAATGGGCCAGAAAAACTGAAACTTATGTGGAAGCATCCTGGGGTAGTGTAGATTCTAAATTGTTCAAATCATGACCCCCGGGGGTAGGGCGGGGCCACAATGGGGAATCAATGTTTTACATAGAAATATATAGGAAAAATCTTTGAAAATCTTCTTCTCAAGAACCACTTGGCCAGTAAAGCTGAAACTTATGTGGAAGCATCCTGGGGTAGTGTAGATTCTAAATTGTTCAAATTATGACCCCCGGGGATAGGGCGGGGCCACAATGGGGAATCAATGTTTTACATAGAAATATATAGAAAAAACTCTTTGAAAATCTTCTCAAGAACCACTGGGTCAGAAAAGCTGAAACTTATGTGGAAGCATCCTGGGGTAGTGTAGATTCTAAATTGTTCAAATCATGACCCCTGGGGGTAGGGCGGGGCCACAATGGGGAATCAAAGTTTTACATAGAAATATATAGGAAAAATCTTTGAAAATCTTCTTCTCAAGAACCACTGAGCCAGAGAAGCTGAAACTTATTTGGAAGCATCCTGGGGTAGTGTAGATATTGAATTGTTAAAACCAGGACCCCCGGGGGTAGGGCAGGGCCACAATGGGGAATCAATGTTTTACATAGAAATATATAGAAAAAAATCTGAAAATCAAAGCTGAAGCTTATTTGGAAGCATACTGGGGTAGTGTAGATTTCAAATTGTTAAAATAATGATAAGTGGGATAGGGTGGGGTCACAATATGTATTACCAGGGGGAAATCTGGTAAAGAACAGAATGGCCAAAGCTTCTCAGGTGAGCGATGTGGCCCATGGGCCTCTTGTTTGATCTTAGCTTGTCATAAGTTCTATTGTAAAACTGGACCCAGTGATTTCAAGTGTAACAAATTTGTATTCTACACTCTTACCAGAATTGAAAGACTTTACTTGATTAACATGTATATTTTTTGTTTTACTATATAATGCATTTCAGGTAGATACATGTATTAACATAGTCTTGCTATCTTAGGTATTTGTATTGGACCGACTGGGGTAAAAAACCAAAGATTGAAAAGATAGGCATGGATGGAAAAGGAAGAAAAGCCATTATAAAATCCGATCTGAAGTGGCCCAATGGTTTGGCCTTGGACATTGAAGAAGAGAAGCTTTACTGGACTGATGCTGGGACCAGTGTTATAGAGTGTTCTGATTTAGACGGCAAGAACAGGAAGGTAGGTCTTTACAAACATGTGAATGAAAGTTTTTTTGTTTTTTTGTTTTTTTTTTTTATAAGAAGTGTATGTATATTGGTGCAAACATTGAAAATTGCATTTTTTTGTGGACTGCAACAAATTTTAAGTTTTTGTCACATGCCTATGATATACATATTTGTGTTGTAATTTGAATTCAACTTACAAGTATTCTTTCCCAAATATCTTAATTTATTTTTATTATCCAACAATAACTACATGCAAAATAACTTGTAAGAGTAAGGTTGTAATATGAAATTAATTTGGACGTATGAGCCTTCCTATCTTATTGCTGCTATTTTAAAGTGACTTTTTTAATGTTTATAAATACAGTGTTTTAAAACATTGAAAATATTTTGACAGATGGTAATCTCAGTGGATGTACAGAGCCCCTTTGGGCTGACCGTGTACAAGAACAAGCTGTACTGGACAGATCGTGGGGACAAGGGACTTCACTCTGCCGACAAATCAAATGGCTCCAACATGGCGACACTTAAAACTAATTATGTCGACATCTGGGATGTGAGGATGTATCACAAGGACAGACCACAAGGTAGTTCTGAAATCCTTATACATTGAATCAAATGTTAGGTATATAAATGTTACAGAGCAATTTTAAAATGCTGCTTTTATTTTTCAGTCCACACAGGATGTGGCACCATGCATGGGGGCTGTAGTCATTTATGCCTGATCGCGCCACTACCCAGGGGCCATTCCTGTGCCTGTCCCACGGGGATACTGCTGAGGAAGGATAACAGAACATGCAATACACGTAAATTTTCTCTGTCATCATCTACTCATGTGCAGTTTGGAAAATTTGCTTGTGTTTATAACTGACAAACTCTGACAAATTCATTCCTGAAAAAGAGTAATCAAAACATATTTTTACTAATTTGTGTGTGTAATGATATTCTTCTCCAGATATGACCAATTTCCTGATATTCGCACGTAGAACGGACATTAGGAAAGTATCTTTGGACGTTGACTATTTTGCTGATGTAGTGATGCCAGTAAAACAACTGAGGAATGTTATTGCTCTAGATGTGGACATTGTTAGAAGTATGTCAGATAAATTCCTTACTGGTGGATTAAATATTTTTTTTTAAAACAGCTGTGCTTTACAAGAATCTTTTCATGCACTGTTGAGAATAATGAGAAGATAAATAGTTGCACCTTAAAAAAATGTTTGTGAAAATGGCCTTGCTTTTACAATGATTTTTCAATCACTCTTTTTGTACAGTGGCTTTGACTGTATCTTTCTGTACTCCGTAGATTATGAATTTTAACTCGTCTAATTTCAGGAAAGGTTTATTGGACAGATACAGTGTTAGACAAGATAATGAGAGCTAACTTGGACGGATCCCAGGTCGAGGAAATCATCAGTAATGGGCTGGACACACCTGACGGACTGACCGTCGACTCTGTGGGACAGAAGCTCTACTGGACAGACACCGGACTCAACCGCATAGAGGTGGCAGAGACAGACGGGAGCAATAGAAAAGTCCTGTTCTGGGAAAATCTGGATAAGCCTCGAGCTATTGTGCTTGTGTATGAACTAGGGTAAGAGCTACATGTATTGTACCATTGAAATGTTACATTATGCTTGAATTTGGGATGCATTCTGAATTGATCCTTAATGTGAAGTGTAATTCAATGGCTTGTGCATTAATTCTGAAGTTTGTGAAATGATAGCTTCTTCATTGTCTCGTAATGTCGGGGAGGGCAATGCATGATGTGTCTGGCGATACATGGTCATAATTTGTCTCAATGAAATCTTCATTGCATTCATTTTTTTGTTAAGAAAAATATATAATTTTTTAAAAGTTTTCCTCATTCCTTGCCAAACACTGCATGGATTACAATTCTCTTCAATATTTTAATTTCTACCAAAGCTGACATGAATTTTGTAATAAGCAATACAATATGCCACTTTATACTCTTTCTATATGGAAACATTATCAGTTTTATAGATGGTCATATTGAATTACATAAACTTGAACCTTAAAAAAATATTTGATCAATCTCCAGGTACTTGTATTTCACTGACTGGGGCGTTAACCCGCGTATTGAGAGGGCCTGGATGGACGGACAGAACAGGAAAGTCCTGATTGACCATGATCTGGGCTGGCCTAATGGACTGGTCATTGATAAACTGACCAGCAGGATTATATGGGCTGACGCCAGAATGGAGGTAAAATTACCAAATAAATTAATAAATTATTTTATTTTATTTGTAGATTCCTTTTATGTACAGATTGTAAGAAATGTACATGATTGTATGCAGTATATAATATCGGTATTATTGAGTAGACAAACAACAGAGATATGAGCAGATCTCAAATATAGTTCACATTTGATAAAAAAGTTTTAACAAAAAGGCTTCATTTTTCAAATACTTCTAAAGAAAGAAAGTTAACATTGGTAATTACCGTACATGTATTGGTGAAATTTCAAAACAAAACTGTAAACGTTGAAATCCAATAAACCATGCCACACATTTGACCCATTTAATAGTTATCAAAATACATGTACAAACTTCTTTCACGGACAACTGACCAATGTTATTGTTCCTGAACCAGGTGATAGGCTCTGCCGATCTCAATGGTGGCAACAGAAGACTTTTGGTGAAGGGGGTCAAACATCCCTATGGGCTTACTGTCTTCGGAAATTACATTTACTGGACAGACTGGCAGAAAAATTCAATCCTAAAGGCGGACAAATACACAGGAAGTGACGTCGTCACACTCCGATATAACTTGTCAGGGTTAATGGATATACATGCTGTACAACTGGACACAGGAGGTAATGTACATGTACTTCAATATGTATACAGAAATAATAATTACTGTGTCAGATAAGACTAAAATAAATTTTGATATAACTCACAAGAGTCACTCCCAAGAAAAAAAAGTTCCAGTGTTTATATCTAAATTGATTTTTTTTTTTCATTTCTAAGATTTAGAGAAGATGAACAAGTGCCAGAAGAAGAATGGTGGCTGCAGTCACTTGTGTCTTCCTAACCCCTCAGGGTATTCCTGTATGTGTCCCACAGGACTCAAACTATTGAAGGACGGCAAGCAGTGCCAGAAAGGTTGAGCTCTTGTATTTCTCTCTCTTTTTGTCTCTCCTTCCCTCTCTCTGTCCCATTTTTCAACCTTGTGAAGATTTAGAAGAAAACAATATTATACTTTGAAATAACACTGTTATACCCTTGATTTGTAAAGATATGGGAAAGATCTTCAGGTTAAATGCATATAATTTTTGTATACAAATAAATTTCCTACAAATTTGCTGGAGGAAATTGTGTAGAATTTTTTTAGACTTATGATATTATGTGCTTTGTTTCTTATGACCTATATTTTTAGGTCACCTGAGTAAACTCAGGTGACCTATTGCTATCTGTTTTCGTCCGTAGTCGTCCGTCGTGCGTTAACATTTGAACATTTTCAGCTTCTTCTCTGCAACCACTGAACCAATTTCAACCAAATTTGGCACAAAGCATCTATGGGTGAAGGGGAACAAAAAATTTGAATTTCATGATTCCTGCCTCCCTGGGGCCTGAGGGGTGGGGCCAAAACCACTAAAATTAATGAAATCTTTAAAAATCTTCTTCTTTACTCCTGGACATCAAGCAGTCAAGCTGTTTGCATGATTGTAATCAGCAATGAGTCCTCTACCAAAATTGTGAAATTCATGGCCCTGGGGTCAGGGGTTCTAGTGCTAGGGCGGGGCTAAATAAGTAGGTAGTGAAAATGCATTATTTCTTTGAAAATCTTCTTCTCTGCTCCTGGGTATTAAATAAACCAACTAAGTACATAGTTATGATGAGCAAGAGTGCCTCTACCAAAATTGTGAATTTTATGGCCCCAGGGTCAGGGGTTCTGGTGTTAGGACGGGGCTCTATTGATTATATAGTGAAAATTCATGAATTCTTTGAAAATCTTCTTCTCTGCTCCTGGGTATTAAATAAACTAACTAAGTACATAGTTCTGATAAGCAAGAGTGCCTCTACCAAAATTGTGAATTTTATGGCCCCAGGGTCAGGGGTTCTTGTTTTAGGGTGGGGCTCTAATGATTATATAGTGAAATTCATGAATTCTTTGAACATCTTATCCTTTGCTCCTGGTTAATATGCTAATGATCTAATTAAATATTTAAGGCCAGGATTTATTTTATTTTCAGTTTTACAAACCCTCCGCTCAAGGTTTTGAATTTTCAGAAAAAAATAAAACAATTTTTTTTCTTTCCAATGTCAAATTTGAGTCGGGGTCGAGATTTCAAATTTACAAACTCGCACTTCCGGTTTTACGATGAAATGGCGGGTAAATAAAGCTAGATCTGAGAAGATAGCTTGGTTTAGTGTAAAATTCATTGATAAGAGTGCCATTCAAAACGTTTCACCCGTTCAAAGGACAAATAAAATGCTGACGACTTTGTAGCACAATGACATGCTGGTGAGTTAATTATGTATTGGTTTCAAAAGTAACTGTAAATTATTTTCCTCCCCCAGGTTTTAAACTGCCCGTGGTAGCTATTGCATATTGCCAGCGACATTGTTTAGGTCTCTGTTATAGCTTACAGTCTAAGCATCATTCTTCAGAAAAGGGTTTCTTATGCATCAGATGTAATGAATAAAACTACGGGAGAAGTTAGGTCCATTTGAGGAAGAAATAAACAATAACCTGAAGAAATAAAAAAAAATTCAACTATTAAAAGGCAAGAATATACAAATATATACAGGCATGTGATGTAGTATCATTTGTATCAGCCAGAAAAATTATTTTCCACTTAATTGAAAAAATGTTGACCCTACTCCCCAATACTCCCTGTCTGTTTTATGATAGGAATTATAATTTTAGGCATCAAGTAAATTTTAGAACAATGTCTACACATTCATCTAACACATATTAAAAAAAATGAAGATATATTGAAAGACTTTAAAAGAATTGATTTTTTAAAATATATTTTGATCAACATCACAAAATTTATATAACTGGCCCAAACTGGCAGATGATGAAATAAGCAATTATAAATGTTCTACTTTCCTATTTATAAGCATTATGTGTCCAGTGGTAAGGAGCCTATTAGGATAGCATAAAAAAAGAATGTACAAATGTTAATAATTGATTTATCAAAATTTTTTTTTATTTCCTTCTCCTTCGGGACTTTTTTATTCTCATGTTCATAAATAAACCTAAACGTAAAATACATGTAAATGCTGGCCTTATAATGAAGAAAGAGGCCTCTTTCAAAATAGATAATTTCAGGGCTGCTGGGTCAGGGGTACCAGGGGGGTACTTTGACTAAAAATAAATTAATGCTTTGAAATCTGCCCTTTGATAAGCAATGGTTCCTCTTTCAAAATTTGTGAATTTCATGGCTTTTGGATTAAAACACGAACCAAATACAGTTGCTGGAAAGTTGTTACGTGATACTCAGGTGACTTATAAGGCCCGTGGGCCTCTTGTTTTTCTACAACATACATTATAGTATGGAGCGAATGTCTACATGTATTTTCAGTTCCGGAGAAGTTCCTGCTGTTTGCCAGTAGAGGAAGTGTGCGGAGGATTTCGTTTGATACAAACGACACAACTGATGTCTTCTTACCCCTCAAGGATCTGCATAATGTAATAGCTCTAGATTACGATAACAGGGATAAAAAGATATTCTACACAGATGTTCACCAAGATGTCATCAAGTATGTGGAAAACTCTGATTCTGAAATTTCTATATTAATTTTCCACTTTTCATATAGTATGAGAATGAAGTGTAACTACTAATGCTTGTCTGTATGGACTTATTTATGAAAGTCTTAAATGATATATTTTTGACTTCAGAAGGGATCTATATTTTACATACAGTAGATACAAAAATGCAATTTTACAGGAACTAGCATTAACATGAAAAGAAAATCAACTTCTCAATGATTATGATGTCAGTATATGATAAAGTTTTAGCAAACTTTCCATTCTCTTGGGCATATTTTTGATAATCTTTAGGATCTCATAGGTAATGATAACAAATAAATATTGATTTTAATTTTAGACGGGCAAACTTTGATGGCAGTCAGTCTGAAGTAATTGTGTCGTCCAATCTAGAGACAACAGATGGTCTGGCTGTAGACTGGATAGGCAGAAATCTGTACTGGACAGACACAGGTGTGTACAAAATAACATAGAGGGGAAAAAAGTCAAAAGTGAAAATCCAAGCCTAACTGTAATAGAAAGTCTAAATAAATTACAATGTTAGAAGAATTTACAGTGACATGAGGAATATATTATTCAACAATGATCTTATGAAAGTGTTTTCTTGCCTTGCAGGTCGTGACAGGATAGAAGTTGCCTGGTTGGATGGGAGAAACAGAAAAACCATTATTAATGAAAAGCTGGATGAACCAAGAGCCATAACTCTGTACCCCAATAAAGGGTAAGTTATCTGCCTACACGGTGAATGAAATTTGGAGTACCTGTCAGCTGAGTACATTTTATGAAGACATACCCACATTCTGATCTGTTTATCCAGATAACTTAAACAGCTTTAAAGGACCTTTATTTTGAAAGAATTGTTCTATTTCTTTTTTTATTAAATCTAGTTGGATGTTCTGGACAGACTGGGGACACAAACCAAAGATTGAGAAATCATTTATGGATGGAACTAACAGAAAAGTCATTGTAAACACTGGCCTAGGTAAGTCATAGTTTATGCTTAACTAGGTATTGAAGACATCTAATTACTGTAAATCACTTTAATTCATGTGAGTTTTATTTTCATGTAATTAAACGAGATAGTGTGCCCGTTAAAGTTTATTTCTTGCATATTTTAGTATAAGATTATTTAGAGGATTAACCACTATGTGTGGAAATTTTGTCTCACAAATAAAGAGTTGATAATTATCTAGGGAAATTAATGTACATGTATTTCGAAACTATTGTGATATGCAGGTCTAATCAGTTAACACTTACTCAGTATTCTAGGTAACTGGTTCGTCTCAGTCAGTTGTCAGATGTTTTATTTTGCTTTAGAAGATATCACTGTAGTGAACAGAGAATTGTTTCCTTTTATACATACAAAAAGATACTTACAGTATATCTTAATTTACGATTAATTCTTTCTTGACAGGGTATCCCAATGGACTTTCTATTGATTATACAATGCAGAGACTCTACTGGGTAGATGCCAAATTAGATAAAATAGAAACCTCAGATTTTAACGGTCACCACAGAGTTAAACTGATCAGCGATGTCATTCATCCATTTGGTTTGGCTGTGGTAAGTTTTAGATTGTGGGAATAGCGTAAGATCACATATTTTTGAGGTGTCAAATTTTCGAGGTTTGAGGAAAAAATATTGAGATTTAATTTCGTGGTTGGAAAAATGTGTAGTAGTAATACATATCAAATTTTACATTTCGTGGTGGTAATAAATTCGTGGGTCTCTCTATACCTTGAAAACAACGAAAATTAAACCCACACAAAAATTAATGATTTCATAGTAATTACAAAAAAATAATACTTATATTTTATTTTACCTATATGATATTCATAATTGAAATACTGTATAGGGGGAAAATAACTCGCATTGTTAATATTTGCTATATTCACGGTTTTTATAAATCCGTGAATTCAAGAAACAGTGAATAAATTTTCAATAATCCTTATGTTTTATTTGGAAATTTGATATAGGTGTACGCGCAGTACATGGTCATTTCAGTAATTACAAGTAGTACTGTCATTCAATTATTTTAATTATCACGCTTTACTTTAATTAAAATCGGCAGATAATAACTTGTATTTGTTCAAAAGCTGTTTTAATAGCCAACGCCAGATGTTTCATCAATCAAAACATGTGGGCCATGGGTTTTGATTACCCGTGCGTAACTAATGTTACCACGTGAATTTGTTACCTGCAGTATCATATGCATATTAGTTCATGTAGTTTTTATCGACATTTTGGCTTTAAAAAAAAATCATTCAAATAAATGTCGAACTTACTGAAGATGTGGAAGGAATTATTTCGTAGAACTACATAAATACATTTATTTCCGTCCAGTGGTTTTTCGCCGCGTTGTATTGAAGATCTTGGGTGCTTATGCACTCATCGTAATAGCATATAGGAAAGTCATTTGACGTTTAGAGTGAAGGACTTTTAATAATTGCACTTGTGTTTATTAATTATTAGCTCACCTGAGCCGAAGGCTCAAGTGAGCTTTTCTGATCAAAATTTGTCCGTCGTCTGTCGTCGTCGTTGTCGTCGTTGTCGTAAACTTTTCACATTTTCATCTTCTTCTCAAGAACCACTAGGCCAATTTCAACCAAACTTGGCACAAAGTATCCTTGGGTGAAGGGGATTCAAGTTTGTTCAAATGAAGGGCCACGTCATGAATAAGAGAAAAATTATTGGCATTTTTAAAAAATCTTCTCCTCAAGAACCACTGGGCCAGGAAAGATGAAACTCATGTGGAATCATCCTCAGGTAGAGTAGATTCAAGTTTGTTCAAGTCATGACCCCCGGGGGTAGGGCGGGGCCAAAATGGCCGATCAAAGTTTTACATAGGACTATATAGGAAAAATCTTTAAAATTCTTCTTCTCAAGAACCACTGGGCCAGGAAAGATGAAACTCACGTGGTATGATCCTCAGGTAGTGTAGATTCAAGTTTGTTCAAGTCATGATCCCCGGGGGTAGGGCGGGGCCAAAATGGGTAAACAAAATTTTAACTCCAACTATTTAGGAATTTTCTTTAAAATTCTTCTTCTCAAGAACCACTGGGCCAGGAAAGATGAAACTCATGTGGTATGATCCTCAGGTAGTGTAGATTCAAGTTTGTTCAAGTCATGACCCCCGGGGATAGGGCGGGGCCAAAATGGCCGATCAAAGTTTTACATAGGAATATATAGGAAAAATCTTTAAAAATCTTCTTCTCAAGAACCATTGAAACAGGAAAAATGAAACTCATTTGAAATTATCTTCAGGTAGTGTAGATTCAAGTTCAAGTCATGACCCCCGGGGGTAGGGCGGGGCCAAAATGGCCGATCAAAGTTTTACATAGGAATATATAGGAAAAATCTTAAAAAATCTTCTTCTCAAGAACCATTGAAACAGGAAAGATGAAACTCATGTGAAATTATCCTCAGGTAGTGTAGATTCAAGTTTGTTCAAGTCATGACCCCGGGGTAAGGGTCTGGCCAAAATGGCCGACCAAAGTTTTACATAGAAATATATAGGGAAACCTTTTTAAATCTTCTTTTCAAGTACTTCAAAGCCAGAATTAGTAATATTTGTATGGAATCATCCTCAGGTAATGAAGATTCAAGTTCGGTCAAATTATGATCCCCTTGGGGGTTAAAATTCAAGCCCCCCCCCCCCCCAAATTAAATTAACTTTCAGTTCTGATCTGATGTGTTTTTTCTTAGCTGATGTGCTCAGGTGAGCGCTGTGGCCCCTGGGCCTCTTGTTTATTAAGTCTAACAATTTTATATTAACCTACCCTGTTGTTCGTGAAATAAAGACATAATGCTGAAAATGTCGTTTACATGTAGCTATGATATGGATTAAACGGATATAGACAAGGGAGGTTACATCTATTATATACCTATTCCGCGATTTCAAGAAACCGCGATCGTGTCAGATGGGAGAAAAACGTGAAAATTACAACCCGTGAAGTTAATCCCCTATACAGTACATGCACAAGTATTTATAAGGTTATAGATGTTTGAGAAGAAAGTTACGTGGGTACTTGTAACTAAAAAGTGGACAATATGTTTGGGTGTTCTAGTATATTTGAAATTTTGGAGTCCTTCTTTTCTACCGGGTATACCTGAATCAAATAAAGACAGGAGACTGCATTTGCAGTCTTTAAAATCTTTCAAGACAAACCAAGTAAAACTTGTTTGAAACACATGAAAAATATTTGATGAAACATTGAGATGTGTAATATTCCAGATGCCAACCACTGAAATGTTTTTAATCTAGCAAAAACAGATATTTTAAAAATAGATGCAAGTTTTCTGTCATAATTCTTCTGTATTAATTTTAGTATGACCAGTACATCTACTGGACTGACTGGCAGACAGAGCAGATAGAGAGAGCCAGTAAAATGACTGGGTTAGACCGGACGGTCATCTCTAAGAACCTGGAGGGACTGATGGACATCGAGTTTGTGGCCCCAGACAGGCAGAAGGGTGAGTATAAATACAGGAATTAGAACATTGGGTATTCATTGAAGTGGTGGTGAGGGGCAGGAGGGAAGGAGGAGTGGTCCATGTTCATCTGTCGATAGGTTCCATATGGGTTTGTACATAAGAAATTTGAGGTCTGTAGAATGGCTTGGTGTAAAATGTTCATATTTGCACCAGTTCAAAATCATTGCTGGGGTGATGGTTTTAAATGCTCATGGATGTAGCTTCTGTTTCTGTTTTTTGAGAAATAACTGTAGAAAGTTCTAAGCTAATATGCTCATATTGATAGTTAAAATACAATTCTGTCAGTAGACCTGTGAATTTTTATCAAAATTTTGTGGATTTCCCAATGTGAAGGGATTTGTCCTTTGTGTAGTGGGTTATTACATTTTGTATGGACATAGTTTTTTCAGAGCACCATATTGAAAAGAAGATTATTTTTGCAATCTTGTACTTTTAGGTAAAAATGGGTGTTATTTGAGAAATGGTGGTTGTTCTCACTTGTGTTTGGCTCGAGGTGACGGATTCCGATGTGCCTGTCCCGACAAACAAGACCCGAAGTGGCCCTGTGTCACAGGTATGTCATTGTCTTATAGTGTAGTACAATCCTAGTTAGACCAGTGCTTGGATTAATTCAGAATGTTATGTAGTTTGTAATGAAGTGTTCCTTCCATGGATTTTGTATCATGATTCTATCATTTTATTTCTATGCTTTTGACAGTGCCTTACAAAGGGGAAACTATAAAAAAGAACAGCATCCATGATAATGCAGAAGGGTAAGCTATATTAAATTTTCTTTTAGATAATTTACATATAATTTGTATGATAAAAATGCTAAACAATGACTTTAAACTTAATAATTTTATCATGTACTGATCTGTATTTTCATGACGGCACTTCAGGGCTAGTAAGAGCAAGTCATGTATCAGGTTTCTTGCTTATGTGTAACATGTAACAAGAAGTATATTTGACTTAGACATGATCAATTTGCTTAGATTTTTTTCAGAGCATATTTCCTGATATTGTATATAAAATGTACTGATATATATTTTGCAGACATCCTGTTAACTTTCTCACTATAAAATGATTTTTTGTTTTTTGCATAGTTGTAGTGCTGAGGATTCAGCCAGAGGTCTGTGTGAAACCCCTTCTCCTTCAGTCTCAAGTACTGGGGGTAAGTTTGGATAACCAGAGAAATATCACACACATTATCTTCAAATACTAGAAGCTCAACAATTAATTCATACAAGTATGTTTACTTGGTGGTAAATAATGTGAAATTTATGTTCTACAGAACAAGCAGGAACAAAGAAGGCCATGATTGGTTTAGGAATTGGAATTGTGATCTTAGCCATACTCATTATCATTGTAGTCTTCAAAGTCAGACAGAGGTATGCTACAGATTGAATATTCATCATATTTACTTTAAGAACAAATGCAGAATGTATAACAATTATAATTATTGATTTTGTAGGAAGAAAAAGAGGCAGACTTACAGGGTTGAGAATGATGAACTGTCATCTTTGACCTTTGCTAACCCCACTTACCAGAAAACTAGTACAGAGACCATCAACATAGATAAAAATTCCTTATCCGGGTCACAGGAGTGGAAAATATTTAAAGCTAATAAAAAGAAGGTCAGTATCAGTTACTTTTCTAAAGGGATGTAGAAAACAGTATTATACTCAAATAATCCAAAGCCCTAAAGAAACTTTCATTCTCAAAGAAATATGTAGTGCTTGTTTGCATGTATTAAAATATGTTTAATTGAGGGTTGTCTTTCAATGACTCATGAATATTTAGGTACACTGTACATCCACATATAAACTGTCAATGTTAAGGAAAAAATAAAATAGAAAGAACCCACATTAAACTGCATAGTATTATGTAGTATTATACATGTATATACACATATATATACCTGATGAAATTTCTCAAAGCATGGCTTTTGGGTCAATTTGCAACAGCAAAAAAGCATTTTTATTTATGTAAAGAAAACAAATTTCATGATTTATATGCAAGTGTCATTATGTATGTGTAATATTTTCTGAATTATTTTTTTGATTGACAGGAGAAAGTGTCCTTTGTTTTACCTACCAAAGATAAGGGTATAGTTAATTCAGAGAAGGCTGCCCTGGTTACGCAGGTGGACACCCACACTGCTGACCACTCCCAACATTGTCCAGAGAGGGTGATCAACAAAAAGATATTTAAACCAAAGACTGTCAAAGATGTGAACAAGTCCAAAAACAGTGTTCCATATAAACAAGTGGATACATAGCACTGATGTTTGGTATTTACATTGTGTAGACAACTTATAACGGGTGTAGACATTTGTTTCTTCTTCACAGACCTGTTTACTCTCACGATTTCGCCGTATTTTATACGGTTTTTTAGTACAAAATGCATCTCATGTTATGATGTTATAAAATTACGGAAATACATTTGTTCGGAATTTAGCAGTAAAAGTGTTCGTCAATTTTGTTTTAATAATAAAATTGATTGATTGTACGTTGTTTAACGTCCCTCTCGAGAATCTTTCACTAATATGGAAACGCCACCACTTGCCGATGGTGAACTGCAAATGTCCTCTACTCGGGCCATTGAGCGAGGAGGGATCTTTTCCGTGCCAGTACCCTCTGCGTCGTTACTTCGCGACTCTAGAGCAGATGCTCTAACCACTCTGCCATGCCAGGGACTTAGTAATCAGAAAAACAGTCTTTCGTCCTTCACTTTAGATATATGTAAAATCAATAAAAAATGAAATCTCACTGGTAAATGCCAAATCTCACGGAAAAATTTCATCAAAATTACTGAAAAACAACGAAATGGGTAAACAGGTCTGCTTCATCAAATGGAGTCTGTTGTGGCAATACAGAGCTTCCATACTCATTAAAATCATTTCACTGAATGTGTGAAACAAAGCCCAATGCACAAACATTTTTCATTTCTGTGGAGTTACTGCACAAATACATGAACTTGTGTTTTTGAAGTCATGTTATCATTGTTTTTTACTATTATTGTCCCCATTTGTACATTTGTTTTGTAATGAAAAGTCCCCTGGTGTTTGTTTGACCTGCTGAAATCCACATTAAAATGGGGGTTTGCTCATCATGAAGTGTCAAATTTGGGACAGTTATTCTCTTGTGATTTAAATTTGGTGCTACATTTGTGAAAATTTGTGTATATAAATCAATGTTTTTAAAAGTATGAGGGCTCAGGCAGCTTTAGACATTTTCGAAGCCATGTCATACAATATATGTATCTGATATTTTAATGCATATTTAAATGATCTGTTGAATTGTTAATTTACTGCTAGCCATGTAGTATTAAGAGTATCGAGTTATAGTTTAATAACTAAAGATTGATATTGCCATGATCATCGTCATATTTTGATGTATTGCAATATTTTTATGGCTTTATTGAGATAACATTGCAATATACATGTATTGTACTAATTTTTTTTTACAATAAGACTTTTCTAGATAGTACTTAGATCTTTAAAAAAATATGGGTAAAAATTTTATTAATGTTTTTATTATTTTACATGTATTTATTACGACATTGAAATAAAGAAACCATTTTAAAGAGAAAACTGGGTTTCTGTCTTGTCTGCAATTAGCAGAGTTGATTTATCAATAATTATACAGTGAAAATTATGTATTTAATCTGACACTCTTGCAATCCGTTTCACTGTGAATTGTGACCTTTGTTTTCAATGTTCCTTTCCCTGTGCGACCCAACACCCCCCTCTATTCCGACACAAAGTTTCTATCTTGGAGCATGTCAGATTAATCAGGTTTCTCTGTGTCTGGTTCACACAACAGTTGTAACACTTTATTTAGAAAAAAAAGTTTTTCTATGTGATTTTGTGAAATTACAGTATACTTCAATTTTTTTTTTTAATTGAATAATAACAAAAGAAGGGTTTTTTTTTTTCAAAAGTTGCTACAAAGTGTTCAATATGGTATTACCACTGTCAGAATTTAATATGAATATTCAAGAATGAACATTAGCCTATTTGGTGTTACTGATAATATGAGCTATATTTTAACTAGCTGCAGATCTGTAGCGTTATGGTTTTATATTTTTGTCTTTGACCATAACGCTACAGATCCCGTAAGGCAAAAAAGGTGCAATTTATGGCGCAATATTTTTTGCGCACTTTTGGGGAGAATTTCTCCACTTTCCAGCATCGGTCAATAATCTGCCTTTCACTCCCTAATTCTAGGCACATTATTTAACTAGAGAGAGAGAGATAAACTCGCTTGATTAAAATTATATGTTAGTTTTCTGAAAATTCACTTCAAGCGAGTTTATTGCCTGTAGAGACAACTAGGCCTATAAATGGTTGGGAGGTGGATAAAATACACAATGTCTACAGAATGTGAAATATGTAAGGTAGTTGATAGAAAGTGAGAAATTCATGTTAATTTTACACATTTTTTGCATTACGGGAACTGTAGCCTTATGGTCAAAGACAAATATAATTATAAAACCATAAGCTACAAATCTGCAGCTATATTTTAACCAGTTAAAGTGGAAAAGCGTTTTTTAAAGGCAAATTTATTCTTGAAAGTCTTCTGTATATTGACCAGTCATTTTATTGAGAGAGAGAGAGAGAGAGAGAGAGAGAGATCCTTGTCGGCTTATAAAAAGCGATAAATATTCATGTAGATCCAGTCTATGCAAATGTCCTTGAAATATGAAGGAATATAGAATGAAACATGTTAATTTTACACATTTTACTCGAAGCACCACCAGTTTTTGCCCTTAGGAAAAATTTAACACATAAAAGAATCGCAACGTGCACAATACTTGTATAAAAAAAAATCCCATTAAGTTTTTTTTCACGTGCAAAGCTGTTTAGAAAGAAATTCCCACCGTTTGTTGTTTCATTCATTCGATACTTTGTAGTAAGGGATAAACGAGGCATCACAGAGTGGATAAGCTTCGACAATTAAGCATATACATACATCGTCTTTTACTTATGTAAAACTTTGTGCATCATGGTGACGTCAAATGTTCAACTATCCAGAACATGTATACTTGTCCAGACGTCATAAGGTCCAGTGGACCAAGCACCGTCATAAAATTCTCTCATTCATATCAATTTCTGATAGAGCGCCTAAGGTCAAGGGTCACCTCGCTGACTTAAGTTCTTTGGTCAACATAGGGCCGTCATTTTGGCAAAGTCAATATGATCCTCCGTTTCTTGGCAAGGATTCTGGCATTTGTATTGCTTATTGATGGGGGTAAGAATTTTGTCTACATATATACAAATTTATTTATTAAAAGAATTCATATATTTTAATTGATGGCAGACTTTTGAAAGAGTACTTTGCACACGCCCAGTGTTGATGTTACATGGTATATACACATGATTTTTACACATGATTTTGTGCTAAAAATTTGTTGAAATATTTGTTTTATGACCGAAATATTACTTTTAAGTTTACAACAATGCTGACGCATGTGGAGTGCATCTTTATTATTATTTATCTATAAAATAATTTTCATTAAATCGTTTAAATCAAAATTTACATTGATAATTGATCGCCAAATTCATTTAAGTCAACATAAGAAGTGACCGACGCACTTTAACAAAAAAAAAACACTGTAATTTCAGTCCTTTCTATTTTTTTTAGCCTCACGAACTAACAGTCGATAGTTAAATACATGCATAAAAGATAAATTAATATTAACTTAATTACTGTAAAAATCAATCCAAATGAACGAGAAATTTGAATTTATAATTTTTTTAAAATAATTTTCCCAGAAAAAGAATAATAGGAAGAAAAGAAAAGAATAATACGATAAGACTATTCAGTTAACGGAATAGAGGGAACCAAACGTGACAAATTAAAGAGAGGTTAACGATAAAATGGACATTTTACGACATCCTCTGTCTTATTCGTCTTCTGACTTCCTGACACGAAAAAATTGCTTATAAATAAAAATACACAGTGCTAGAAATACTACTGAAGTACGAGGCGCTATATGTTTGGTAAATAAAAATTTAAACATATTTAAACTCTTTTAAATGTATTGTTAATAAGTAGTCGTATTTCAGTCGTATATTTAGGAAAAATCGCATGTTTAGCAGTCAGTTTTAAATTAAGAGGGTTTTAAAACTTGGGAACATAAGCAAGGCCCTATTTGGATTTATTTTAGAGGGGAGGGGGTTGTTTGCTCTAGTTAAGGATATCCGCTCCTCAGTCAGGAATGATAACTCTCAAAATTATTGATTTTAAAAATTCTCAAAATGAAGCTTGAATTTGAAATATTTTCTTGCAACAATTTTCATTTCATGCAACTTAATATGATTCAAGGTTTTCTGAAAACATAGAAACGGACTTATGGAACTAAAGGAGCATAAACATATTTATTTAAAAAAATCTTTTCCAAATGCCTGAATATCTACGATCTAAAATATATTTGGTGATCAATATTATTTGATTAAAAAATGCATATCGAGTCCCATTATTTACATTACCTAAAATAATATTTGAGATTTTATAGTTTCCCTATTATACTTTGAAAATTCAGAGACAATTTTGTGAGGATTTTCAATTTCTCAACTCCTGATTTTCAGAAGCCGAGGATGGGACTTCCTCGTGTATATTTTTTGGAAGAACAGGTCCTACTTCATTGGTTAAATAAATATTGAGATATGAAAACTTAAAAAAAAAAAACTTGACTATCGCAAGAGTTAGAAGTTAAAAATCCCACAAAAGACCAACGGTGCTCAAGAGTGTTCGAAGCGACGTCGTTTTTTGGTTACCACGATAAACTAAAGACTAAGATCAATACTGTCAGTACGTCACGTCATCTGATAGTAAAAATGTTGTTACAATTTGTATGTAATTATTATTAGGTGATTAAGAGAGACAGCCTAATTACAAAACAGTCTGATACAGACGTTTACAACTATCCTGAGGACATACTAATTCTTGTTTGTTAATTATGATATAATTATTGTCCAAAATAATTGTTTCGACGAAATATGCCACAGGCTTAATATAAAATCTGATTTTATTGCTGCCTGGAATACATTTTACTTGATATTCTTAGAAGTACTATCGTATTGCTTTAACCATGATTTTAATAATTAAAAAAAATAATTAATGATGATTAAACGACACAGTATGAGAAAAGAAATTAAGGTCAAACAAGATTTAAGAAAATTATTGATAAATGAATTTGATATTTCTTTTTGGTGATTGTGTTTATTAGAGCAGTGTAAAAATAAAAAAAATATATACTTCGTGAAAAAACTGAAACTTGGGACAAAAGACAAGTTCAGCCTCTACGCGCAAAAATGTGTACAGTTAAGTTTTCCGTTTGAATACACCCTTCCCGAAAATCAGATCTATGTAACGCTCCGAAATTCTGATGGTCGCTGTCTCAGAATTATTTGTTAAAGGGTAAAAAGTCAGAGGAATCTAGGAATAATTTTCAGTGAAATAAAATATGTACCCAACTTACATAACAATTTTGCAAAATACCTTTTTATTATTTCAGGAAAAGTTTGGTGTGTAGATATTGACAGGATTGCCAAAGATCTAAAAATAACATATGACGTAGTAAGAAATGGGGTACTCACGCCGTACGCAACTGTAACTTATTTTGCTAACGTAACTCTAGAGAATGTTGGTACGACACCAATTCCTGCCGCAAACTGGAGCATCTATTTCTGTCACCACACCCTTATTCAACCTGTATACTACAACGCCACGATAAACCAGTATATTGGAGGAGGCCTGATTCTTTCTGGGAATATAACTCTGACGCATGTTAAAGGTTGCATGTTCAAATTTGACCCATACAATGGTGACAACAAAGTTTTTCAGAACCTACCATTGCAACCAGGAGAGCTCCGAAATATTTCGTTCCTGGCTTCCAACTGGGCTATATCCCGATATGACATCTTTCCAAACTGGTATCTGTCAAATGGCACACATCAGCAAATTATTGAAAATACCAAAAGTCCTGATGCAACATTCGTCGCCCCTCACACAACTTTTGTTGAGTTCATGAGGGGAATACCGAACGATGTGATGGGTATACCACCCTCACCATTCGAACGTTACCGGGGATACAATTTCACTGACCTTGAATCCATCAAAACGTCCATTCTACCCACCCCAGTAAAGCAGACGCTTGGAAATGAAACCGTTACTATTGACAAGAAATGGAGAATAGACAGGGATCGTTTCAGAAGCCTATCCGGAGTCGCCAAGTACATACAAAGTAAGAGATAATCTAAAAATGGTGGATGTAGTTGAATGCTAAACCATTAATCAAACTTTTACTTTTTAATTTTCATTTCTGTCGTTTTTTTTTTGCAGAGTCTATAAAGGGATCCAAAATCAGGAATCTAAAACCCACCTCAAACAGAGTCATACAACTCAGAATAAAGAAAAACGCAACGAAAGAAAATCCCGAGGGATATACCTTAAAAATTACTTCTAAACCAGATAGGGTAGACATATTAGGGAACTCCGTGGGTGGCGTGTTTAACGGAATCCAATCACTGTTCAGCTTGCTGGCCTTCGGAGGTACCATTCCCACCATGACAATTACAGACGAACCCCGATTTAACCACAGAGGACTCTTGTTTGATGTTGCCAGGAATTTCTTTCCAAAATCCACCATTATTAAGTTGTTAGAAGTAATGGCTTTATTCAAACTGAACAAACTCCAACTGAATCTGGCGGACGATGAAGGTTGGCGTTTGGACATCGAGGCACTTCCGGAGTTAGCCAAGGTGATGTTTTGACTCCTTTATTGTTCAGTTATAGATGATTTCAAAAAATAGGTAACAAATATGCAAACATATATATAGTAAAGATACCGCGGTGGGCTTTTATATTTTTGTATTGTATTGGTTGCTTCTGTGTAACATTTTTCAAAGAATATAAAACACTTTTTTATGTCATTGCAGATTGGAGGAAAACGTTGTCATGACTTGCAAGAGAGGACTTGTCTGTTTTCCCAGTTGGGTTCAAACCCGAGCGGCAGCGGTATTGGGTCTGGATATTTCACGAAAAAAGACTATCAAGATATTCTTAAAGCAGCTCGAGACCGTAACATTGAAATCATCCCTAGCATCAACATAGCTGGCCGTGCTCGTGCTGCAGTTATTGCAATGAACGAATACTCCAGAAGAACGAACACCACCGATTACAATCTCCATGACGTACAAACCGAACACGTTTATCTTACAGACACGTTGTTTGATGATTCTGCCATAAATCCATGCATGCCGTCAACTTTCAAATTTTTTGATACCGTTTTGAAAGAAATCAAATCGTATCATAATGAGGCTAAGGTGCCACTGGAGCGTGTCAATATTGGAGGAGATGATTCCCCGGCTGCTGCATGGTTGAATTCCTCCTATTGCAAGAACCTTACTTACGATGGGCCTGATCCATTCATGCGTATCAAAGTGAACTTTACGACACAGATTGCCAAGATTGCTGCTGATAATGGAGTTAACCTTTCTGGATTTGAGGAGTTCTTTATGGCATGGCCCACGACAGATCCTAGAGGGGGGCCCTTGGTTCCTTTTGATGTCAATCGATACCCAGAAAATTTGGAAATAACCGTTCATACAAGGAATTCACAAAACGATGTTTTCATTCAGAGAGCGACTGCTCTTACTAATAATGGCTACAAGGTAAAGGTTCATGTCTTCTTCAAAAATAACTTCTTTGTAGAAAGATCTACCGTATTCTATAAAATCATTTAAAAGTTTAAGGCAGTAAACGTACAGACATATCAAAATTTAATTTGCCTTTTTTTTTTTTTGCTTGGAGTTACTATTTTACTATACTTCGATGTACTATGAAACAGTCCCTTAAAATATCTGTCAGGGCTTCAGAATTGTTAGCAATGATGTTAATCTTCACTAATATATTTTTTGTAGGGGATTAAAGAATATTTTTTATTTTCCCTTCAGGTCATCTTGTCGCAGTCAGATTTCCTGAGTTTTGATCACGCTCCTGAGGCGGACCCAGAAAGCCCCGGGGATTATTGGGCTATCCGATTCATTGATCCTCTTCGAGTGTTCTCTTATCTTCCTGAGCATCGCTGCTGTAACCTAATACCCGATGAATTCACCTTTGGTAAAATGCCATTTGCTCCATATGGATGTATAGACGATAGCAACTGCTTAGAAGCTAAACAGCCACAGAATGTTACAGGTAAGTTTTGGCAAAAGTGTTTTCACTTTGCCTTCCACATAAATACAGTAACCAATTCTGCCAGATTTTTGGATTCACCATTACGGTATTTTTTCTCTACTTTTTTGTTAGTTTTCTCAAAATCCCCAGTTTTCTCTATGGCAAATTAACTTTTGTCTTCAGTGTTCCAGTCCTCTCTGTACTTTTAGCGGTTTCATACCATGATCTCAACAAAGTTGTCTTTCTTTCCCTTTCTGCAAGTTCCTATGGTTGTCTCCTCTATTAAGTGTTAATGGTAAAGTTGTTTTGTCTTGGTTATCTGCTCTCAATCTTAGCATAAGTCCTATCCATATCCATCACCGATTATCTTTGTCCGTCTTTTTTGTCTGTCAAATCTTTTTTGATTGCTTCTAAATGCTACTTCAAAAGTAGCTTTTTTAAAAATAATTAAAAAAAGATCTCGGACAGACGAATAGACATTTGGATTGATCATCGTCAGACAGCTTAACAAATACCAATGCAAGTGAGACTAACACAATGCCCCAAAATAGTAAATCGTAATTAAACCCAAACTACTAGAAATTATAATACATTAAAAATTGCTAAAACATGTTACTTTGTTGGTGTTTCTCTCTTTTTCAACCGATAAAATAAACTTGATCACAACAGAAGGTTGCTTTTTACAGGAATGCAGGCACAAGTTTGGACAGCAAGAATAAGGACGGAGGACCAGTTATTTGGGCTGTTGTTTCCACGCTTGATTGTTTTTGCTGAGAGAGCCTGGCACCGAGCACCCTGGGAATCGTCCTACAAAGTCCGCACGAACGTCAACGAGGACTACCCCGTACCGGATTTTCCAGCACGTGATGCCGATTGGGCTCGTGTAGCTAGCATGATTGGCCACCGTGAACTTAAGAGGTTGGAAGCATATGGAGTCAATCCCAGAATTCCACCGCCAGGAGCTAGGTATGGTTGATGGTTAACTCTAAAGTTAACCGCTTCAAAATATTTGAAATCATGGACGCCAATGCATGAGTTGTTGGGTCTTCAAGCTAGTATTCTTTTCACAATATTATTATCATTATTTTTTTAAGAAATATGACCTACAAAGATGCAAACAATACCATAAAACACGTGTTACACACGGACGTTGCATATCCAGATCTACAACCCCAAGTGCAAGGAGGTCAAAACCAGTGGGCGGACATTAAGCCAGCTACTGACATTACAAATCTAAAAATGAGAGTACTGGCCTATAGAACCAGGTGTGTGTGTGGTTTATTTTTTGTATAACATTATGGAAAGATATATATTTTTATCATGCGTGAATTGCTTTTATATAATTGTTTAAGATTGTGTTAATTTTATCAGTAAAGAAACAAAATTACTATGATTATTCTACTATCTACATTTCAGAAACGCCGCAAATAACAGATACAGCAAAGTAGACAATTATGTTCTAGAGGTCGGTTTTATTTTTACTAAACTTTTTTTGAAATATGAAATTGATAACGGAAAAACATAAAAAAAAATGACGATGACGTTAATGAAATACACATTACATGAAGTAACTCTAACAATCTGGGGGTTTTGGTCTTTCAGAGGCCCAGAAATGTGCTAGAGAGACTTGTAGAAGCGGGACTTATAGCACCTCCTCCGGGAATAGGAATACCGCCCGAGTTTGGTTCCACTGTTCCACCCATAGATGTATCCCTGACGTCCACCACCAAACCATAAACCAAAGCCATTATATAAAGAAAATAGTTCTGTGTCAACAATAATGACTTCATGACAAATATTTTGTGATATATACCTCTGTTGTTTATTAGCAGAATTACTGTATGATGTGTTATTATATTGTGTGTTTAACTTTTATGTTTCATAATTAAGAAGCAATGAGTTCGATATCTTAAACAATGTTTAGGTTTTCACAGAACTCAATGAGTTTATTTTATACTGCAATATACGATTCAGGAATGGCGAAAATAAGGTGGATTCAACTAACAAAAATTTAAGAATGAGACAAAAATAAGAAAACTTTACTGAATCAAATTTACCGCGGTAGGGGAAGGGGCTTCGGGGATGTCTTAAGGTGTTTCTCTTTGTGCATGTACATGAGAAAATTCATTAATGTATTGCAAATTGATTTGCATTAATTTTATACGTTTAGTTTAGACATAAAAATGTGTAAATCCGATTTAAAAAATAATAAAATGCCTACAATCAGTTGTTTTAGCCCTTTTTATTGAGCGGAAGATACATATATGCAAGTCAAAACAAAAAATAATAGATATATGATAATAATTATTCATTGACTGTTAATTTGGGGAAAGTGCGTTTTGTTGACCCCTGTCTGCTTTGACCCACGGTCACTTGCAGACAGCTGAGTTCTTAGGTTTGACAAAACACCTGTTGCCTTCAAACCCACGCAGTAAATATATAGTATTAAAATCCCTTTCATACAGAGGTTTGCGATTGATGATTGGTTTATTGCTTCGTTTTGCAAAGTTGGCTAGATCTCTCAGAGATCTTTCAACAGTCGCCCAGTCATCGCCCTACTCTCAAGAATCTTCCAGAGGTATCCAAGGTTTTTGCAAAACAGTCTTTCAACTGTGATTTCTAAAGTAGTCTCTCAAAGAACGACTAAAAAAAGAGAGATCATGGATTGTTTCTTTGATCTACCAATGGCCATTTAGGACCTTTTACACACAAGAACGTCTTTGAGATTATTGTGAGACCCTTGAGTGTACATTAGATCGATCTCTGAAAGCCCCGGTGGCTTTTGAACAGATGGTAATTGGAAGGTCATGTTGTGCTTGTGCGAATAGAAGATTGGATATTGCATGTCACATTCATGGTATTCTGCTACTATTGATGGTTACATTGCTTTCTCTGAGAGTGTGATCAGTCATTGCTTTGCGACCAATGAATGGATATCACTGAGAAATCTTAGAAAGTTTTCAAGAGAATTAAAGCGAATTAAATCTTATGAAGACATTGAAACAGTAAAATCCAACACAATAATTTTTGTACTTAAAGACCAGGAGGGCATACAATGACCTTGGTATCTTAAAGAGCTAAATTAGTGGAGTAAGTATACCAAATATGAAGTCTCTATCTTTCATGGTTCAAAAGTTAAGGCAAAGGTTAAGTTGACAGACAGACAGAATTGACCTTCATGTCATTTGAAAGAGCTCAATTAGTGGAGTAAGTATACCAGATATGACGTCTCTATCTTTCATGGTTCAAAAGTTATGGCTAATGTTAAAGTTAACAACATACAGACAAACAGACAGACAGGGCAATATGGCGCGCCCTCGACCTATCGAACCGGGCGCATAAAGATTTCGTTAAAATGTGACCTGGACGAATCTTACATATCTACCCTCAATTTATAGTAACATGTAATGGCCTTATTTCAATTGACATGTCACACAAAAATATCACAACATACCTTTTACCAAGCTCGGACTTTGAATTTCTTTTTCTTTGCCAATATTTCAAAAACTAGAGGTACTGTGAGCAATAAGCTCACTAAATGATACCCCCCGCCTCCCACATGAATAAAATGGCAGTGTCAATGTTTTGCCTTATATGTCATGTTTTCACAATGGCAATCAAATCAGTTTAAGGATCCAGTCAAGCTTCATAAACCTCTGCACACTTTTTTAATGTTTTCGTCAAATCAGTTTAAATCCAGTCAAGGTTCATAAACCTCTGCACACTTTTAAAAGTAGCATGTTGCTTTAACTTTTTTTAAAAAATAACGATTTAAGTAAATACATCGTAATTTGTTCAAAAACATTTTTGTCATTATGAGAGATTTTAAAAATTATATACAAATGGTGTTGACCAAATACATATTCTTGGAAACACCCATAGTTCATGACACATCAGTACTGTTCCATCTTAGAAACACTCATAGTTAATGACAAATTAGTACTGTTCCATCAATTTTTGTTTGAACAAAATAGCGGTTGCAGATTAAAATGTAAACGAAATAAAATATATGTAAAGATGACTTCTCTCATATCTTACGAATATATATTTTGTATTTTCATTATTTTCACTTCATTATCAAACGCTATTATACCTGAACTAGTTTGATCCGGTTTGAAAAACGTTCCCTCTAATACTGACATCCACTGAATGTTTTTCTTTTCTTTTCTTTTTTAACAAACACAATTTGCATCTTAACTAATTATATCCGGTTTGAGATTTTTTTTTCAAATGGCGAAGGTCGCAACTTGTTGGATAAGGGTAAACACAAATTTTGAACACTACAAAATTTGTCAAATAATATATCCGGTACCTTTTAAGAAGTGTGAAATATATGGAGATAATGAACAGTTTTCAAACTTAGCAGTCTATTCAATCAATATAGATAAAGAGCAGAGCAAACACAGACCTCCAAAACATCAAAGGAGGAAACAGGTGCCATGGAGGAGAAAACATTCCCTGGCGATGGTCACACCCGCCCTGTGTACCTTGTCATGATCGAGAGAGAACGAAAAAATCCGCCGGCAATTCGGTGTGAAAATAATGGTCTAACATTTTGCTTGAAAAACATCAGTCAACATTTGGGAGTCTATTTCTACTCTCTACTCACTAAAATATGCGTAGAGTCAGCAAGGATAACTTTTTCTAACAGAAATTAGGGATAAATAAAGATTAATAAGGAACAAATCACAATGTTAAATAGTATTTACTTACAAGGTTATTGTATTGTTCACTTATGATGACTTTAAAGGAGACTATTAATATTCTTGTGCCATCAACTTATTTGTCAAGAAATGACCTCATTTTAGAAATTGTTCATAAGTAACTTTTCATATCAGATGAGGGGCTTAATAAAAATAAAAACACAGTGTCTCCCATTTCCAATTTTAATTCAACCAACATCATAGAGTGCACCATGAATGCATGCAAATCACTGGATGAGAATATCATTATTATCATAACAGAGTTTTCATGAGATCATGTATCACTTTGTATCACTACATAGTTTGTATAAACATATAAAAATAAGAATTCGACATACATTTAATGTAAGTGTACCAGATTTACAGTTAGAAAATTCGTAAACATAGAAACAACGGTGTATTTCAGATCACATCAAGCTTGGAATTTATTTTCTGATGAAACAGACAGATAACGGTCATGTCAAATTATGTAGAGTTCCTAACAGGAATTATGTAGCTTATACAGAAGAGAATGTGTTGGTATGAAAAAGCATGAATTTACATTCGTATTGATTTTGTAGAGAGACACATATGGCCTGTATTATAAATTAAGGAAGAATGTCCCTCTACTCACTAAAATATGGGAAAAGTAAGCAAGGACCATCTTTTCTAACAGAAATTAGGAATACAATTCAAAATTCAAGCCAAGTATACCATGTTAGGTCAAGTTTGAGACAACTCACTTCATGAATTTATCTTCCTTAGCAGAAGAACATTCCTCCTTAAGCAAATAGCAGGGATCAGTAATTAATTTTTATATGTGTAAAGATATATTTAAGTGAAGAATATGATTAGAGTTGGGTACATTATTCATTTAAATTATTAAAAAAATGCTTTCAGAGTTGCACATTCGGAGACAAAACCCAAAAATATCATTGGATTACTAAGAACTTTTTTTTCTTAATATAAAGTAACAGTTATGCATTTGTTATCTTTACAAAACACATAATTCTCAAATCCTCAAAAAAAAGTTTTTGTCAAGTTGACAATTTTTTTCATATAAAAACTAAAAAAAAGCATTCATTAAATTCTAAAATTGTGAAAACAATAATGGATTTACTTCATCATACAAACAGTACTATTGGACACACATCCAGATGATGTTATAATTTAGGACTTGACCGATTTATCTCCCGGCTTGTCTTCTCTGTTGGGCCCCCCTCCCTGCCTGTCCGGCCCCTCTCTGGCCTGCACCTTGGCGCCGTGCTCCTCCTTGTCCTCTTCCTTGTTGCCCGGCACCTGCAAGTTGCGCGGCTCCTGGAAGTTGCCCAGCTCCACCCTGTTGCCCACCTCCTTGCTGCTGCTGTCGCTGTAAGAATGCAGCTTGCTGTGCAGCTTGTCGTCTTGCCATCTCCATGATGTTTTGCTGATTACGGATTCTGAGAGCTTCCTGTTCCCTCCTCATAGCCTCTGCTCTTTGTTGTATATGATCATAAACATGTTCGTAGGGTGTTTTATCGAGCTGTAAAACAAAGGTTATGCTTTTATTTATATCTCTATACACGTAAGAAGGGCATTTTTTCTCTCTGTAAAACAAACTGTTATTCATAATTTACTAGTTTTCTTATTTAAATGATTTTACATAAATTTGAATATTCATTAGACTCATTTGCATATTAAATATTCTCATCCTGATCAGCTTTAATAAAGTAATTTTAAACATTGTTGAATAGCCAGCACTGAAGAAAAGCTTTGCGAAAAATTATACTTACGTTTGAATTGAACTCTTGTTCATAGCACTCAAAAAAGCGTCGGAAACTGTGAAATAAAATGGTTCTTGTTATAATACTTGAAAAAAAGGCATTTTATTTTGACAACTTGAAGGTAGCTATAGGTTTAGACACCTCAGTGTTACTTGTTCTTTTAGCTCTTACCTAGGCAAATAATACTGGCATTTTATCGTCACATTTGTGGTTGGTATCGTTTTCATTTCTTCAAATTCTCCCATATTGTTTTTGACATACACTTTCATGTTAGGGTACATACAGGACGTTTCCAGTTTGTCACCGGTTGGTTGTCTTACAACTCTATAAAAACATAGTTCAAAAACATTGAAAAGTTTTGTATTTTGTGTACAGACTTAAACTTTCAGACGTAATTTTTCAAAAGAGAAGATCTTTTATTTTATGGGTTTTTTTTCTCGAGATAAAGCATTAATTTGCACCTTGCCCCAGGGGCTGAACAGAATACAGGAATTCCCTTGCTGGCGACTCGCATGACTTCCTTTGCACCAATAATACTCCTGAATCGCTGGTAGTCTTCTTCTAGCCCGGTGAAGTCTGGATTAAGAGTTGGTGATACATCTAATGGGGGCACCATGGCCTGATTTTGTGCTTGGGGTGGTTGATAGGGCGTGGCTGCTGTAAATGAGGCCTCCCATGGGGCCTCGTGCCAAGAACGTTCCGCAAAGCTGAAGAGACGAGGGGTAAGAAGCTGGAGAGTTGTGTTGATGTTCGGTAACTTACGGGTATCAATAGTAGCCATTGTGCCTGCAAAAAGTTTTGAAAAACATTAATGAAAATTTAACAAAACTTGATTTTTTGTTGTTTAACGTCCCTATCAAGAATTTTCCAATATGAAGATGCTACCACTTGTCATTTGAAATGGAAATTTATACCTATACTTGACGAATATGTCGATATTAAAATTGCATGGACAAAACATACTTCTAAATGTAAACAGTTGTGCATTATATTTGAATAATGTTACCGGTAAATGACTTCAAAATGATAAAATACTTTAAAATACTCACCATCAAAACTAGTTATGCCGTCAGCAAATGGATCACACAGTGTACTCGCAAGACAGCCATGCTTTGTGACTTCATTGGCTACTTGTTCTGGAGCTAAGTTAAGGTTGCAGCACCTGCTGTTCGGAACCCAAGCAAAAGCCTCGCGTAAGCTCACGTTTCTTGTGGCAACGCTATAATCCCCGGGAGCGTTGGGGTCAGGTTCGTAGGCAGTGTCGAATTTTGTCTTATGTGGTGGTGAGACCAAAACCTGAAAGAAAAGGTTTGTTTTAGACCGTGCGTTATTTTTTGGTCCTTGTTGTTGTTAATAAATATACAGTCGGGTTTGGAGACTCAAGAAAATTAAAATTAGTGTAAAAATTAAATTATCGATAAACCAAGCGTCCCGTCTCTATCATTCCATTTCCTTTCTTTAATTACTCTTCTTCTTTTACAGATATTATTTAATACCTTGTAGCCGTTGTTCTTTAGAAGTTGCGCACGATTAGCGTAGATCTCCATTCGCGAGTTTGGACCTGCTGGGGGATTGAATCTCATGTAGTCATCGTTAATGGCAAAAGCGCTGATATTGGGGTATCGCTTGGATTTGTCCATAATAGTCATTCTGGAAACAAACTCGTTGTCGGGAAAACCGGTGAAAAAGTCTACTGTTCCGCTGATATCAACGTTCTCCCTGGTAAATAGTGCTCCAAGTTGTGCCAGGAAGTCGGCTTTGATTGCTGTTAGCTTGGAACGAGCAGCTTGTAACTCTGTTGCATTTCTGGGAGCTATAGGGAAACAGTGTTTGGAGGTCATCATCTGCTCGGTGTTGAAGTCGGATCCAAAGTGCAACCTCGACAATGGTATACCGGCCTGTGAGTAAATTCTTTTTAAACTCTTTAATACATAGTTTACAAATTGCATGGTTTCCGGTCTGCATGGGTTAATGGCGGTGTCTTTTCCGGGATATCTTCCAGAGATTCTCAAATCCTCGTCTGTCGGGTCGAACAGACTAATCCCTTGTTTACCACTCTTGATGGCACCCTCCATTCCAACTACCATGGCACGTGCATTATCACCAACGTTGACAGATGGAACAATCATGACTCCGCGATCATCTGCGTATTCTATAAGATTTTTGAATTGTGTTGGGGTAAGGTAACCGTTTCCTAGTCCGCTTCCGTCTGGGTTTGAACCAAGCTGGGTGAAAAGACACATCTCCTCTTTGGGGTCATGGCATCGTTTTCCAGCAATCTATCAAAAAAAAAATCAATCAATTATACTTTACATAACATTATATATGTATTTCTACAGGTTTCAGTATGTCCGATCATGACATAGCATACGGCGGGTGTGACCCGGTCGACCAGGAAGTGTTTCCATGGCAACTGATACCACCTCTGATGTTTTATAGGTCCGTGTATGCTCTGCTTATACAAACTGTATTCTTTCAAAGGAATTTTCAACCTGAATATGTTCGTTATCTTCATTTCACATGGTAAGAAACACCTACAAGTTTACGCTTGCTGTTTCTCACATCGTTCTACTTTATCGCTCTTGAAATTTTTTTTATCATATTTCTGTACATTAAAGTAAAGATTTTCAATACCTGTGCAGCTCCAAGACCCATGTCCAATCGGAGTCCATGGTTGTTCCAAAGCTGCAAGTACAGGCGGTTGAGTTTGTATAAAGCCATCAAATCTATGACCTTTTTTATTTCTGCTGGCTGGTAGAAGTTGGAAGCTATGTCCAGGTGTAATGCTCTTTCAGGGAATCTTGGACCATCCCTAATAATCTGTTCGGGGACCTCTCGCCAAGCCTGCTGGGAAATGAAGGTATGGATACCATTGATTACACCTTTAGGAGATGCACCGTTGATTTCAATTTTATTAGGTGTTATCTTCAACTCGTAAGCTTCATCGGTAACAGGTCCGTAGACCTGGGTTGGGAAATAAGATGCCGGTTTCAGATTAAGCTCTATCGTTTTGGGGTTGGCTGGGGCTGCAGTTGCTGTCTTTATCTTGGTTTGGGCTAAAGTTGAAAAAAAAAATCATGCAAAAGTTTATCGATGTTAAAGTAGATCTCCGACATGCGTAGTCTAAATTAATGAAAATGAGGCAAACACACAATAGTGAATATTTACTTACATGCTAGATAGTCTCTTGCCGTATCTAGGGTAGGATCTGTGGCTGCGATCTTCCAGCCTCCTTTTGCTGCCGTGACGTCAATTAGATTGACCGGTTGGTTAACTGTCTGTTCTCTAGGTTTTGGTGTGACGTCATACAGGACTCCGCTCATAAAAGGTACATAGGCGTTCTGTCTATCTTGTGGTTCCTTGGGTACACTCTGTAAATCATCTGTTCTACGTAACTGGTTAAGGGGGGTTTTAAAGTCACCCACATAGTCAAGGTTTACAGTATCTGGAAGCACCTCGATATTATTTGCGTTATCTCTTACATACCAGTTTCGGAAAGAGTCATACCTGCTCACAGTAAATGGTTGGAAATATAAAGTAATGTTCTTGGATTCTTTTGGCTGAAGACCAGCACCGACGGCTTTAAATTCATACATACAGCCATGAAGGAAATTTACATCATATCCCTCAATTATCAAAGGTCCCCCATAAGGTGCTGCCTCATATTTGGCTAAATCCTCCTGGTAGCTTACAGGGAACAGGAAATTGTCATGACAAAAGAACAAAGAGTACCCTGTTTCTGGCAATGCCGTGTTTCCAGTATTAGTTAAAGTTAATTCAGCCACGGAATGGGGTGCCCTACCCACCATGGCAAAGTTCGTACGAACAGCATATTTTATATCCAAATCTCTGGCAATTGTTTTCGCTACTGTAAAACAGAAAAAAAACAAATATATTAACATTTAAGTTTTATGTAAAAAAAAAAAAAACAACAACAACAACAACAACAAACAAAGAATTTATTCACTTTGTGTTAAGTTCTAGAATTACTGTGTCATTTCTAACAAAAAAAAAATATGAAGAATTTTACAAGCCAAAAATTTCTTGTATTGCTTTCTTAACAAGGCTTAACAACGTAGAACAGTATATAAAACGAAATTCTGGTATACTTCGACGAAATCAGAAAAGGATATAAATACAGGACATTTCTATACACCGGCAAAAAACACGTGTAACGGAGAGTTCGACCTCTTGTCTGCTCCGTAAGACAAGGCAACGAAAAAACCATTACACGGGGCAGCCAATCGTAACGAGACCATTACACGCGTACATTTCCTTGATTTATATGGTATATTTAATAGATTACGGTCCTTTTAGGTTGTCCATCCCAAGGGTTCTTATAATTATTAGGCCACTTAAAACAATCACAGAAAGTCTACTTATTATTACAAATAAAGTATGTTCATAGTATTTTTTTGTCGCCGAATAAAAGCATTTAGTAGCGAGAAACCATCACGTATGTCATTACTTTATAGTAATTTTTAGATGGATTAAATTAAAATCATTAAAAAATACATAGGATTCAATATAATTCAAAAGCTCATATTTTATACTGTTGGAATTTGATTTACTTAAAATGCCTAATTTGTTTTGTAAATTTAAGTGGTGTATCTAGCATATGGCATCAAATTAACCGATTTTAAAGTGATTGAAACTTAGAAATGTAAGACAGGTTGCAAGGAAATTCGAATTGTTTCAATTGTAAATTGGTTGTTCTTTTGATAAGAGATATTATCTTTTTAGTTAATGAATTTTTCAAGTTATTTTTAATTGAAGTTTTCAAGCATGATATAATCTAATTTTTAAAATTGTCACTTCAATTGAAGAAAATTCCATCCTCATATTCTATTTACATGTATATTCAAAGAAAAAAAGAAGAAAAGTGTTATGGGGGAGAAGTATGAAATAAAAAAAAATAAATTAAAAAAATGCAATCCAAGCAGAAATCGTGATAACCATGATATAAATTAAATTTAACATATGTTTTATGATATATGTACTTATATTGTAAATATGCTTATAATATTGTTGTAGTTATGTAAACTATGGAAAACCACTTACCCTGCGAGTGAGCATATTGAAAACAGAGAATTATCCCAACCAACCCTCCTACAGATAATTTCCACATCTCTTGTTCAAGTCTTTCAAGTAAAGAAAGAGGCAAAGACAACGTTTTAAATAGACATTGTTCAGTGGGCCCTTTTAAGGGAGATTTTTACTAACACATATAAAAACAAAAGAATAGGTAAAACCTATTTTGCTCAACAGTCATTGATGTACAACTGCGTCACAACTAGACCGCGTACGCTAATTCGTAAATCATTTCGTACGACTTCATTAATGAATAGGTAGTATCCCCGTGGTGAGCCTCTCATTGCTATAAATATTCCCCTTACGTCTTTTGACGTACAAATGACAAATTGCAATTAAGGTAATGAATTGTTTTGAACACGCTGATTGGAGTCGCTTCTTCGCTCTTACGCCAAAATGCGTTGAACTTTTGACTTATACTTGGCAAAATAAAAGACCTATTACGTATTATTAATTTATTGATAAATCTGAATGATTAGTTTTGCGAAATTGACCATTTCAAATCGAAGCGTAGCTCTAGAATTATTGTTTTATTCAATAATACGATTTCAGTTGAGATTTATTACTACATGATGTATAGTATTTACGTATATTAAATATTTATTATATAATATAAATCATATGTATACATTATGATAAATAAAAATGCATTTATAAATGAATTATTTAAATAAATTAAATATAATTCTATTAATCAGTCTTATGAATTTCACCCGTAACTTGGTTTTTTAATTTCATGCAATATCAACCTTTAGAAGTTCTCAATATCTATTGTTCCTATCTTAATTAAAGGAAATTTTCGACTTATCCCATTTTGTACCTATGTCTTTTCTCCTAAAAATTTTAACGTTCTAATTTTCTGCACATTACACTAAATTGCTTATATATAGAAGTACTATTATATGACTGAAATATGAGGTAAAGTATATCATAAGAAGGTAAGAGGTTTTATTCCCCCTCCCAAGTTAATTATATATCAAACAAAACAAAATCAAAACACACACACACACCCTCTCTCACACACACACACAAACAAACAAACAAAAAGCAAAAACATTGCAATAAAATCATTTCAAGAATTAGAGAGCGGGTTTTTTTTTATCAGCAGCAGTTTTTTAAAAAAAGTTTTGTTAAGGTACCCTAAATTATATGTATGTATTCAAGATTTACCACTGCTTCTCTTTGTAGAGAACATTGTAAACTTAAATTTTCTTATTGAATTGTCAATTAACTATTGTTAATTTCTATTCTTATGTCAAAGCGATATATCCCGGTGACCTTGAAGTAAAAGATACCACAGAGTCTGACACATCTGTTTCACATTTGGGTCTTTTCGTTAATGGTTATCTAACAACAAAGCTTTATGATAAACGTGATGACTTTGTTTCAAAAGTCAACTTCCCAAGCTTATGCGGCAATGTGCCTTTGTCACCTGCATAGGGAGTTTATATCTCTCAATTGATTCGATACGGAAGAGCATGTTCTACGCATAAACAATTTCCAAACGTGATAAGTTATTGACAAACAAGTTGTTGAAGCAAGAATATCAGCAGTCTCGTTCAAAGTCTTCATTTCGTAAGTTCTATGGTCTATACAATGACCTTGCCAGCAAATACAATTCATCATTGAGTCAAATGCTGACTGCGTTTTTTCATACTGATTGTTAGGCCATTATTAACACACCGAGTTCTCCACAGATTTTTTCGCCCGGTATTTTCCGATCATGACAATGAGCACATGGCGGATGTGGCCGGTCGGCAGGGGATGCTCACTCCTCTATGGCACTTGAACCCACCCCTGAGGCTTTTGAGGTCCGTGTTTGCTCTGCTCCAATTTGTGCTTTTAATGGCTTTTGAGCTCGAATACTGTTCGCTATCTTCATACATTTCATTGAAAGTAATATTAAATAAATACTTTTCAAATGACGAAAGCCCCATACGACATCTTTTCTGCCTTCCATTTGAATGAATGAATTGGTAAACTTCAAAATTCGATTCATCACCCTAACATGTACTTTTGAAAAAAAAGGGCATAAACTGAAAAATCTTGTGTTTTGGTAAAGATGATTAAGAGTTTAATAAACACTTTCAACTTTGTCAAATATAAATTTGTGGATACATGTATACACAGCTTAAAATAATATTTCAAAGCAATCTTATCATAAAAGATATTTTGATTACTATCATGAAATATAGGAAAATAACGAACAGTATTCAAGCTCAAAAGTCCATTTAACAATACAAAATAGGAACAGAGCAAACACGGGCCTCCGAAACATCAGAGGTAGGATCATGATCAGTTGCCAACCTTTGATGTTTGAGAACAAGTAACATTACATCATGCAATAATTTTGATACATCAGGTCTAGAATTTTAGGATTGTATTTAATACTTTGTGTGCCCCTTTGAAGACCTTTGGCAAATTTTGCAGATTAAGTGTAATTCATAGTCACATGAAGCAATTCATAGTCACATGAAACATTCCGTTTCAGGGAAATGTCATTTTTCTAAATATCAAATACACGGAACTTGTCAATTTCTATGTCTTTTTATGAAATAGTTCTAGCAAAAGATTGAAATCAATCTAACTTTGAAGCTTTGGTGATCATTTTCCTAGATATTACTAGGAGGCGAACACCCTATTTTTTGGCGGGAGAGCGGGGAATCAGAAAGCCAAGTCAATGGAAATTGTGCCCCTCAAAAAGGTAGAAGGAGGGGGCTCATTTATATTAATTGTACTGTCATAGTAACAGGATTTTGCACATAATTTAAAATGCAGTGTTATGTTAAAGGATTTTCATTTATTTAACATGAAAAATATTCATTTGGTACTAGTATCCCCATTGACTTTTAAAAGTGAAATACATTAGTTTGTTTAATTACATTTTAAAGAATTATTTACTTTAATGCTGACTTTAAATGAGATTGTTGAAATCCTTGTAACAACAATTTATCAGCAAGCAGCGTTGACAGACGTAAGGTAATGGTGGAATATCACTACACAACGAAGTCGTCTCGTTTGTCATACAATTTACATTTTTATTGTAAATTGACCTTTATCGTCTATAGTCATTGAAACACCCAAATTTGAAACAAGATGTGGCCTACTCGGTGGTGTCTTAAATTTATTTCAAGTTCACTGGGAAATATCGAGTCGACATACAAGTACAAATAAAAATATCTACATGTATTATTAATTGATGAAACATTGTCGATACATCTGAATGTCGAATTAAAGGCTAAAGCTAGAATTTTCTCTTCTCATGTAGAAAATTTTAAATAAAATCTGATTGATATGAATATAAAACATGTTATCTTTTTAAGGAAGCACAATTCGTTCCCATCGAAATTCAGTTTGTTGTTAAGTTGGTCTCCGGAGACAACATAAATATTGTCAAATAGGAGCTCCGGCATCATTTTAATGTCATCTTTAGAATAATTGTGGTTTTTAAGGTATCAGATGTACAATTTAATAAAAAAAAAAAATGATGCATGTAATAATAATCCCATATACTCATATAATAGGTGTAGGTACATGTATATAGTTTCTTAAAAAAGCATTTTTCCCGCCAAATTACTATCGAGAATTAACTCTAGCATTTGAAATATGATACAGGAAAACCTAATATTTTCTAGTGATGTCCAAAATCTGTACAATATAATTGATATTTGGTAAAATGTGATTGATGATAATAATAAACAATACAATTTTGATATAGCTAATTTTATCTTTCTCAGTTATATCTTAAGAACAATCTAAGAAGAAATTTATGAAGATAACGAACAATTTTCAAGCTCAAAAGTCCATTAAACAATACAAAATAGGAGCAGAGCAAAGATGGACCCATTGTGTGTTCCTTGTTATGATCGAGAAATAACAGAAAAATCCTTCCACAATTCAGTGATTGAATAATGGCCACACAGCTGGTATGAAAAAAATGTCAGTCAGCATTTGACTCAATGATAAATTGTATTTGCTGACAAGGTCATGGTATCCACCATAGAACTTACGGCATGATGAACTTAAACGAAACCGCTGATATTCTTGTTTCATCAAATTGTTTGTCAATGATACCTCGTTTGAGAAATTGTACGTACGTAGGACATGCTCTTGTGTATCAAATCAATTGAGAGATGTAAACCCCGTATGCAGGTGATGAAGGTACATTGCTGCATAAGTAAAGGAAACTGACGATTGAAAGTTATTACTTGCATGTTGTTACCGTTGTTAATTGACAATACGTCGTCGATATTTCTAAATGTCGAGATGAAGGCCACTCAATTGTCTTTTTCTTTTCACGTATAAGGTTTTGGACAAATTCTGCTTCAATTGAATACAAAAATAGACCTCTTAATAACGGGGCGCAATTGGTTCCCATGGGAGTTCCCAATAGATTGTTGGAAAACCATATAGTTATTGTCAATCAGAAACTCAAGCATCAAAAAAATTAAATTGCGAAAGTTTCATAATAATTGATATCTTTAAATTTCAACTGTTAAGCATACAAAAATTTGAGTATGCGCTGTATGGTTATTAAAATATTATATGGTGACACACTATAAGGCCAATTGCGCTTTACATATATTTTGTTTGTAAACACCTTCACCATAATAATAACTGCTTCCTCTGAAGAATTAAAATACAATATCTTATCATACTTAATTTTAGGAGAAAATATCGGAACGGTGATTCAAATCACGCTAAAAATGCATGAATTAATCTACACGTGTATATGTAAAAAGTTTAAGATGAGGGGTTGTTATGAATGCATGTGATTTTAAAATGGATTCAGGTAGGCGCCAATATCACATCCCTGTACGATTTATAGGCATTTGAAACAACTCGTCTTTCTTTTGTGATAAATCAAAATTTCAATTTCACTCTGGGCGGTTGATTAATTACTTGCACAATTAAATAACCTTCTTACCATTTTTATTTTTTTATTTTTTTTTTATTCTGCGTATGTGTACGTGTGCCAGACATTGCAGTGTTTTGTGCTAACTATAAATCAAAGATCGTCACCTTTAGATGTTCTCGAAATTCACTTATAATACATCTATCAAGGTGTAGCATTTTTGTACTCTTTGGGAAGATATTCACAGATATATATATTAAGAAGAGATCTGGAAAGTTTGTAACAAAAATGCAAAAAAAAAACAAGTAAACTCAGGAAATGCATTCATGATTTATTACGCCTTACACAAAAATTTACATAATGATCCTCGTGATTGCGAAAAAAAATAGTTCTAGAAATGTCAGTTTCTTTACATCTTAGGTCCTAATTAGTTTTCTTTTTTTTAAGTCCTCTTCCATAAAATGAAAAGATGTACAAAATTACCAGATGAAAATGATACAAGATTAAGAAAACCATTTTATTTGAGCTAATTCACCAGTACGGTTGACCTCGAAAACCTTTAGCATCAGTATACGTATAAGTAATTAAGTGAAACTTTTGATCCAAAGCAGATAAATCTTGGTTTCAACGTCACAAAATAAACTCAGCATCTTCCTAGTTCCAGCAAGTCGTCTAGATCCAAGTTTCATTACTACGCCGTTAGCGTGCTTGAGACATATTCTTTCGTGAAACGTTAGTTTTCCAAATTTTGCTGAAAATTTTCAGAGCACAAATGGAGTGAATTGGAATAGCAAATATATGGTTTCTAAACTGCTTCGTGAATCCACAGTAGACGAGGAAATTTATGGAAAAATTTAGATAGAACAGCAAATCCAGTAAATGGGTCACTGCCATTTCTTTCTGAGTAACTACGTACCCCTCCTGTACAAGAGACCTAACCTGAGATTGAAGTTTGTTTACATGCTGGGGTAAATTTAGAAAAAAGAAAACAACGAAAATTGCAATTAGCATGTTCCGGAGTTTTCTGTATGCACAGAGTGCCTGACTGCTTGACCTCGTTCTGAGAATCTTCCGCGAGTTGCAATTTTCAAATGAGTTCTTCTCCGGATTTTGGTCGTTTTGATTTAAGCATTTATCATCGATCTTCTTGTACACAATTTTTGTCCCAACAGTTGGACTTGCCCCTTTAGCGAATTGTAATTGTACGATAGTTTCTTTCTTGTTATCATTTATGGTTGCCCAAAGTATTCGTGACGTCATAACAAACATCATCACCATAGGTACAACTGATGTCAACAGAGAATCAATGAATGAAATAATCAAGACAATATGGGCACTACTTTCTACGCAGATTGATTTTCCATGTTCGATTTTATACACTTCCACTGTCCATAAATTGTGTACATACAGTACCATAGCAAATACCGTTAAACAGAATATAACAAACTTTGCAAGGTTTCGGTTCAGTAAACGTAAAGTTCGAGTTGAAAGATAGAATGTTAGCATGTACATTTCGAGTGTGAGTATGTTTACAATCCAAACTGACAAAAAACTGAAAACGAAGGTTAAATACACAAGTGATTGGCACACAAATGGACGATCAAAAACGGCGACGTTCAAAGTGTCAATCCAAAGCATCAAGACACAAAGGAGAAACCCTGAGTCAGAAATAGCGAGGACTGCCAGATAAAGAGAGGAAGACATCTTCTTCAGTTTGGTGGTGGTGAAGACGAGCGCAGAAATGATGTTACCGATAAGCCCGAAAAGAACAATGACCGGAAGTAGAATTCGATGTAATGTAACGGCTAACTTCATTGGTTCTTCAGTGTTATTCTCAGGGTCCAAGAGTGTCCATTGAAAATGGCCTGACTTGTTTCCAGAATTATCCATGTTTGATGACAATTTCTGATGTTCAAAAGTATTGCTTGTCCTTAAGGTTCTTGTTCTGAAATTGTTCTGCAGAGTTTCAGCATCCGACAAGCTCTAGTCTACCAAGACCCACATACCGTCAAAAAGCATAGAAGATTAAGTTACACCCGCATAAACCTTTAACATGTCAAACTGCGGATCAGCAATCTTAGATTCCTCTATCTGGGAAAAATATCTTTTTAAAATCAATTGATACATGCAATTATGTTATGAGTGGGTGTGCAAAGAAAAATAGAAGTTCCTCAACTTAAGCAATAGATGAAGGACGTAATAAGTATTAAATTTCTAGACCAATTCCAAGTGTATTTTTCCTGCAGACTATGCAATAAATTTACATTAAATGCTGTAATTTCATTTTGAATGCATGCCTTTGTAAAATATTTTACAAATATGATTCCAGAAATGTTGTTTACATATTATATATGAGATCACTATTGGTGAATCGGTGTGCTTGCATTGGTTTTCGTCTTCTCCAACCTAATGGAGGTTCAAGTCAATAAAAAATTAATATAATTTCTTCAAACATTCTTATTTGAATACTTTCTCACATATCTCCATAAAAATCCCATATATTCACATGTAGTTACATTAACATCTGGATAAAAAGAGGCAATTAACATTATTCATTTCTCCTATATTATGATGGCATATTAACATAAAACGGACATTTATTATTATACCGACACTTTATGAACAGTTAATTAGAATTAATTATTAGACATCGAAGCTGAATAAAAATGTAATTAAAAGCGTAAGGCTTATCTCTAGATTGAAAATAAAATCAATATTTCAAATCAGTGAATTTCATTCAAATGAAAAAATTACCACATTCAATCAATTGGTACTTAGTAAACTTCCAAGTTTAGAAAAGTTTAATTAGAATTAGGGAAAAATAACAAAGTAACAAATTACACAATGATTAAATGCAGATTTTCAATTAAGGACTGATATGAAATATGTGGAGATAACGAACAGTATGCAAGCTCAAAAGTCCATTAAACAATACAAAATAGGAGCAGAGCAAACACCCCTGACGGACCTTCAAAACATCAGAGGTGGGATCAGGTTCCAGGGAAGGTTGAGCATCTCCTGCATACCGGTCACACCCGCCGTTTGCCCCTTGTCATGGTCGGGAAATAACGGAAAAATCCGTTGTCAATTCAGTGTGTAAATAATGGACCAACAATTAGTATGAAAAATATCAGTCAGCATTGACTCAATGATAAATTGTATTTGCTGACAAGATCATTGTATCGACCATAAAACTCAAAAAATGATGACTCTGAACAAGACTGTTGATATTCTTGTTTCATCAACTTGTTTGTCAGTAATTTACCTCGTTTTAAAAATTGTACATATATACGTAGAACATGCTCTTGAGTATCGAATCAACCGAGAGATTTAAACCCCGTAATGCAGGTGATGAAGGTATATTGCTGTACAAGTAAGGGAAACTGACGATTGAAAAATTAAAGTCATCACATTTATCATGATAGCGCTTGGTTGTTAGATTGCTATTAACGTTTTTTTCAAAACACAATTTTGTGGCTCTAGGATTGAAAAGCTTTAATTTTAGGAAGAAAGTGGTTCTCTTTTCAAACTTCAATAGGAAATGGTCATGTTTCCGTTGCTACAACTTGATTATTTCTACAATTTCAGAAGAGTTTGTTCCAGTAGGGATTTCGGAATAACACATTTTTAAGTTAGGGAAAAATGGTAGATGTTCAGTGTAATTCAAAACGCAGGATGTTAACCCTAATCGTATATCTTGAAGAAGAAGAAGAGGAAACAAATTAAAATCGAACAATATCAAATATTATATTAAATCAAAAACGGAGAGTAAGTACTATATTTTTACGCGTAACTTTAATTTGGCAATAATGGGGTCAACATCCTGTCTCGAACAGGCTGACAATAGCCGGTGCAATTGTTCTTTGAGCAATAAGCCAGGCAAAAAAAAAGGTGAAGATTACGAACAGTGATAGACCTAAAAAAAAATCTATAAACAGAACAAATATGTGAAATGGGAAAACTTATCGCCCTTTTTATTTGCTTTATTCCTGAATGATGTAGAATCTTTTTTAATTGCACATAACAATATTGGTGTCTCAACAATATCAAATGAGATTGAAAAAAAACTTGGTGTTTTGCTAAAAATGCTGATTATTTTGTATGCAGATGATACAGTTTTACTATCGGAATCACCCGAAGATTTACAGAATCAATTGCACAGTTTTTTTTATTGTATTGTGAAAAATGGAAGCTAGAAGTTAATATAAAAAAAACAAAAATAATGATTTTTTCAAAGGGACGTATACCACATAAAGTTTTTTATTACAATAACAAAGAAATTGAAATTGTTAAACATTTCAAATATATATGAATTATATTCTCAACAACAGGCTCATATATTAAGACAAAACAATGTGCTACTGAAAGAGCAACGAAGGCTATGCATGGTATTTTGAAAAAAGGTAACCAATTACATCTCGCTATATATGACCATTGTATTTGTTCGACAAGATTGTAATTCCAATATTATTGTATGGTTGTGAAGTGTGGGGTTATGGCAATGTTGAAATGGTAGAAAGAGTACATTTAAAATTTTGTAAAATGCTTTTTCATTTAAAACCAAGTACTCCAAATTTTATGATCTATGGTGAATTAGGTAGAGTACCTTTAATTATACATATCAAAACAAGAATTATTGCATACTGATCAAAAATTTTACATGGAAAACAATCAAAATATTGTTTTTTAATGTATAAATTACTTCGTGCAAAATTTGATAATGGACATGAATCTAAATGATTAAAGAATTTGAAATCAATTTTAGACAATTGTGGATATAGTAATATTTGGAATCAGAATCAATTATTTAATAAAACTTGGCTTATTAAAAGTTTGAAACAAAAATTACTAGATCAGTTTCAACAAAATTGGAATTCAACCTGTAATGATTCTTCAAAAGGTGTGACATATAATCTATTTACAAATTTACACTTTGGATGTCAATTTTATGTAGATAGCCGGTTAAATAATTATAAAAAAACAAATTTTAGCTAGATTTAGAACAGCAAACCATAAATTACCCATTGAAACAGGAAGATGGGAAGGTATTGAAAGAATTAATAGAATATGTCTTTTATGTAAAAATGATCTTGGTGACGAATTCCACTACATGTATATTCTATGCTGTGAAATGTTAAAAGATGAAAGAAAATTGTATATTCCGAAATATTATTTTATAAGACCAAATATTATCAAATTTAATGAATTGTTTTCTTCCAAAAATGTTGGACTATTGAGTAAACTTTGTTCTTTATTAAAATTGTACACGAGAGAGTCAAACCTCCAGGTTAACATCAATGTAAACAATTATTATATGGAAATACTTGATTATAAAAATATATGTTATGCTCATATGTATATATGTTAAATAATATGTATTGATGTCTATGTTGTTAAATAACAACCAAAGAGATATTAATAAACTGGAAACTGGTAAAACTGGAAATTCCAGAGGTGGGATCAGGTGTCTCAGAGGAGTAAGCATCCCTATTGGCCAGTCGAGTTATAAATAAAGAAATGATTGTGTATTTGATAGTTTTATGATGAACATTTTTTGGTGAAAGATAAAATAAAAACATTGAAAAGCGTGTTTGTCTGTTCTTTTATTGAAGAAAAATTTTGTAGCAATTAAAAATTTCTACTCAATCAATAAAATGCAAGTTATTTTACATTTCAATCAAGCTATAAAAATGTAACTTTCTTGATTAAGCTTGAACAAGGGAATTCGATCAAACAATCTATGTATCAAAAAGGCTAAATGCTATCATTCTTGTTTTTTCTTACACAACAAACTGTCTGAACTTTTTGTCATGTCAGATGTAAATTGCGATGCATGTTGGTTTGATGAATCGCTTAATTCTCTAAAAGATAAATGTTAAGCAATTCGGTCTTCTAGAAAGTCGATTCCTGCTCAGGGATGATTACATAAATAATCTCTGTACGTTGTTGCATGTAAAATAAATGGATTTAGTGGGCCCTTTTGACAGTCCATCATTGAGAAAACTCTGATATAACAATGTAAGCTGTTTTCTGTTCAAAACCTAATTGTTCATTTTTAACAAGGAAATTTAAGATAATTACAATGCGTCTCATGTTTACAACCATAAACTTATTTGTCTTTTTTGAAATTAAACATCTCTTTTGTTTTGCGATTTGAATATTTATTTGGATCATAATTAATGTCTAATGTACAACATTTAAGGTGTGGACAATTTATTTTTTTTAAAATACATATGTACTGTGGTTTCTTTAAATGTTATTTGTAGACTCGATTAATTGTCTTTCTGTTCTTAAAACACGAATAACGATGAAGAGTAGCGAAAAATCTTGACAAAATTGAAGTTTTATATTGTTTTGTTGATGTATTTTTTTTTTCAAATAACGTTTTTTTCTAATCATTTTGCTTAGATCTCTGCAAAACTAAAAGTGCACACTTGCTTTTCTTTTCAATTCTACCATTTCATATATAAGTAATAGTTGGTAAACGTTATAAATCATGGAGTATAAGAAACGCTAGACAATGATAAATGCATTGAAAAGACATTGTGGTTAATCTGGTCAAATCTTTGCCCACAATTTAGTCAGTCGCGGTGCGAAACAAACTTTTTAAGAAACCGTATCTTCTCTTCAATAAAGGCAAAGAAAAACTTCATTGTCCGAATATCAACCACAAATGTTTATATTTTACAACAATTTTCAGTCTTTGTTTATTGTATCAGCCACAAATGTTTATATTTTCAAAAATATAAACTGATTATACAACGTACCATAATTTTTACAAAAAATAATAAAATGTGAATCAATTGACCTAGATATGAAATACTAGTACCTATCCTCCATCAATTGCCCTTCTGTGATAAACTATAAGCATTATGAGGTACATGTAAGGGCCGGGAAAGATTCATGGACCATAGAACTCATCAAAGACAATTTACGTTGCTCTTTCATGCAAATGATATACAATAAATCTCACTGCATCTACACACATACACATAAGCA